GATTTTTTAGAAAAGCCTCTAACATGAAAGGCAAAGACCAAAACAAAACTTTTAAAAAAATATTTTCTTTTTAAAGATTTTATTTAAGAGAGAGAGCGCACATGCTCACGAGTAGGGGGGGAGAGGGAGAGGGACTGTAGACTCCCCGCTGAGCAGGGCTGGAGCTCCATGCCAAGTCCCCAAGATCATGACCTGAGCCAAAGGCAGACATTTAACCAACTGAACCACCCAGGTGCCCCCACACTAATTAAACTCGTAAGAAATTTGCAAGAAGAAAGCAAACAGAACAAAGAAAAATTGTAATTCAGATGCAGTTCATGTGGATGGGAATATGAAGCCAGGGAATGGGGGAAGACTTATCCTTTCATTTCACCGCAGGGACCAGAGTTTCTTCTCTAAATGGTTGCCATCCTACAACCTCAGAGAGATTTGCCAAGTAACAAAAGCAAGAACACACGAAATACATGCCAGGTTCTTCACTCTCTGCATGTCCCTCTCCACTGTCATTATCCAAGTCATCATCTCTCCCTTGGACCCTGACAACAGCCCCCTAATGCCCAGAGGGCCTTCAGGCTTCAGACTTTTTTTTTTTTTTTTAAGATTTTATTTGAGAGAGAGAGAACAAGCAGTAGGGAGGGGTGGGGGGAGCAAGAGAGAGAGAGAGAGAAAGAGAGGAGCAGACTCCCTGCTGAGCAGGCAGTCCGATGCAGGGCTCAATCCTGGAGATCATGACTTGAGCAGAAGGCAGACGCTTAACCAACTGAGCCACCCAGGTGCCCCTCAGACTAGTTTCTACTAAACAATTCTACATGTAATAGAGTAATATTTAAGAAAGAAAAAAAAAAAGAATCCGACCATTTCCAGTCCCTGATTTAACATTCTCCACGGCCTCTTAGCCAATCCCCTTGTGCTGGCCTAACAAGGTATTTTATCATCTATATGGTCTGTCTGCTTCTTCCATCTCACGTCCCCCTCCTCCTCCTCCTCTCCTACTTGCCAGTCACACCTAGTTCTTTCTGTTCTTAGAACACAAGTTCATTCTCACCTCTGTTCTGCCTAGAAGCTCCTGGATATGGCTGCTCATGGTATTTGTATATTGTCTGTCTCGCCAAACTGATATAAAGTTCCATGAGAACAAGTACCATGTTTATCTTATTTACCACTATGACACCACTTAGAAGAGTATCTAACGTGTGGTATACACCCAATAGGTACTTATTGAATTAATAAAACTATAGTTTAAAGGGCTCAAAGTTTTAAGGGTAAGGGTGAAATGGCAGATGAAAAAATATTAAACCATTAAATAATATCAAAATATTAACTTCACAAAGTACCAGGATCTAGCAAAACTTTGACATTAGGATGAACATTTCCCTTGACCAAGTAGTTTTCAATGTAAAAAAAAAAAAAAAAAACTCTTCTATCAATGACAATATCCTAATTGCGATAGTATGCCACAGTTTTGCAAGATAGTATCCTTGCAACAAGAAGATAAACATGATCTCTCTGGTATTTCTTACTATTGCATGTTAATCTACAATTACCTTAAAATAAAGTTTATTTTTAAAAATTCTAATCTACAGATACTATTCAGCCTGCTTCTGTAGTACCACCCCAAAATGTATTCTTCCAATGAATATTCTGTGGTGACAAAAGCTCTCTTGGAATTTAGAGAAATAAAGGAAGTCTCTGTTTCCGGTACATGATACATTTTTCCTGCAGCCGAGAACATCAGACTCCGTTCTTAACCACACACAGCACCTGGCCCATAGTCGGTGTTCAATAAATATTTATTCAGTGAGCTAATTATTTCTGAGAAAGCCAAAATGACCGAGGCACCGGCTGTGACCCTCTACCACTGCGTGTCACAGCATTCCAACAGGGAGAGACACCGACTCTAAACTGTTCACACAGCCCTTCGTCTTAAACAATAAAATGCCCAATATGCAGTTGACCCTTAACCACATATATTACGCAGTTGTTCCCTAGAAATTGCCTTACACACTGAAGTAGGACAAAGAAATACTATCAGACCACTTAAAAAATCCTATTCTTTAATTACTGAAATAGCCTTGGTCTAACCTATTAGGGCCCTTTCCAAACATTAACTAGTAAATTTGTGCTTTGGGAAGGACAACTGCATCAGTAAGTAATTGTACACACGAAGAGTACCTACTTATCAATTTTGGTCAAGGATGAAGTATCTCGGGGCACCTGGGTGGCTCAGTCGTTAAGCGTCTGCCTTTGGCTCAGGTCATGATCTCAGGGTCCTGGGATCGACCCCGCACCGGGCTCCCTGCTCCTCGGGAAGCCTGCTTCTCCCTCTCCCACTCCCTCTGCTTGTGTTCCCTCTCCGTGTCTCTGTCAAATAAATAAAATCTTAAAAAAAAAAAAAAAAAGGGATGAAGTGTCAATCTCCTGGTTGTGTTGATTTTTTCCTTGTATTTCTATTTAGAGAACAGTTAATGGATAAAACAGAATGCTTTTCTATTTTATCAATCCCTTCAGCCAATGAGATATTAAGAAATGTTTTGGGGACTAACATCCTCTAACAGAATAAGTATTTTAATTTCACTTATCATTTTATAACTTACAATCCTAAAGTTACAAATTAAAATTGGTTACTTAAAATTTTGATATCAAGTTCTGAGCATTTTTCTTTTATCAATATGTAACCATGAACACTTCCTCCTTTACCCCACATTTCCCCACAGACCGTCTAAACTGAGCTCTAAACCAAGTCCAGTGGCTTCTGCCCTTGAACCTGGTTAGTTCAATACACCAAGTATTCAATTTAACACAGGAGTTGATTTAAACAGATAACGAGCAGGAAACTCACAGCTGAAGGTAAAACCAGCTCTTGACATGCCCCATTGTTCCTTAGCATACTAAAGCACCCATCCCATTAGGTGACCTCCTATCTCATCTGAACTAAATACCAAAGCTGAATGCATCTCTTTAAGGCACATGTAGCCTCATCCTTGAATTTCCAGATTTCAATCACCGTTGTCCTTTCTCATTTCTTTTCTGAAGTGGCAGCTTTTCTAAGAGTAACCAAAGAAAAACAGGTTTCATTTGGAGGAGGCAGTTGGGAGACTAGTATATCCTCCTCTGTCGTGCAGAAAAGAGTCTTTGAAGCTTCAATTTAGAAGATTTATCATCCTTAATATTAACACTGTCCTATGAATGAAGAAACTAGATTAACAAGTAAAGCTTAAAAAACCCAAAATAACAGGGAAGCCAAACTTACAGTTCTTCATGCTATCACTACACAATTGTAGGATCTAAATACTATACACAAGTCAACTTTAGAAGTTACCTGTAAAGGGCGCCTGGGTGGCTCAGTCGGTTAAGCGACTGCCTTCGGCTCAGGTCATGATCCTGGAGTCCCAGGATGGAGTCCTGGGATCGAGTCCCACTTTGGGCTCCCTGCTCAGCAGGGAGTCTGCTTCTCCCTCTGACCCTCCTCCCTCTCATGCTCTCTATCTCATTCTCTCTCTCAAATAAATAAAATCTTAAAAAAAGAATTCTATTCTCAGTCACATCAAGAATAAAATACTTAGAATTTAACAATAAAATTGCAAAACTTATACTCGAAAAGTGCAGAACATTGGGCGCCTGGGTGGCTCAGATGGTTAAGTGTCTGCCTTCGGCTCAGGTCATGATCCCAGGGTCCTGGGATCAAGTCCCGCATCGGGCTCCCTGCTCCTTGGGAGCCTGCTTCTCCCTCTGCCTCTCTCTCTCTCTGTCTCTCATGAATAAATAAATAAAATCTTAAAAAAAAAAAAAAGAAAGAAAAGTACAGAACATTATTGGGAGCAATGAAAGAAGACCTCAATCTAAGGAAAAACTTCCCATGCTCATGGATTACAAGATTTAACATTGCTAAAAGGCCAATACTCCCCAAACTGATCTACAGATTCAAAACAATCCCAATCAAAATCCCAGCTGGCTTCCTTAGACACTAAGCACTAACCACTAAGAAAAGATGATTTACAAAAATGAGGAGGGGCGCCTGGGTAGCTCAGTCGTTAAGTGTCTGCCTTCTGCTCAGGTCATGATCCCAGGGTCTTGGGATCTATCCCCGCATCTCTCTCTCCCTCTCCCTGGCACTCCCCCTGCTTGTGCTCTCTCTCTGTCAAATAAATAAGTAAAATCTTTAAAAGAAAAAAAAAAAAAAAGAATGAGGAGTACAGGGTGCCTGGCTGGCTCATTTCGAAGAGCAAGAGACTCTACATCTCACAGTTCTGAGTTCAAGCCCCATCTTGGGTGGAGTTTACTCAAGTAAATAAAACTAAGAAAAAAAAAAAATGAAAAGTACATCTCACATTTAGGAGTTACTTTGATTTGTAGATTAGGGTGTTAGAAACGTTGAAACAGGCATCCCTACATTAGTCCTAACCCTGTACCTCTAGGGCTCTCCCAAGGTAGCATTTATTGAAAACTCACATATAAGCCCTGCTACCCAAACCAGGCCTGTTCTGTAATGTAACCTAATCACTGCCAGGTTCGTTTGATGGCAACACTCCCAAATCCACCTGGAAAAAATTTGTGGGGGTGGAGTGATGGGAGCTGAGGGAAATCTGCAAAAACAAACAAAAATGAAAAGAGGAAAAAATGTTTCCTGACTTCCTTCCATAGGGTCAGAGGTTTTAAATACATAGAGGAGAAAATATTCTAAAAATCTTGAACATCGCATTTTCTTGTAAAAATCTGCAAGGCAATTTCCGTTAGATAAATGGGACAAATGTTATACTGTTTGATGTGAGTCACCCTATTTATCCATGCCACCCGAAGAGCTGAATTAGCATATGGTGCACCCATCACACTAATACCACAGGTTACGTGCTTCCAGTCCCAGTAAATGTCCTTCACCAGGCTTTAGGTAGAAAAGCTCACTTCTCTTAACTAAAAAGTTAAGCCAAGACTAGCTTATAGATTATAATACTTCTCTCTCCCCAAAGACCATTTAAGAGCAATCCTTTAAAAAAAAAAAAAAGCACACACATGGTAAATTTATGCCACTAGAGGGATTTATTCTTCCATTAAATAAAACTATAGCACTCTGAACTGTATTCAGAGCTGCAATTCCATCCAAGATTTATGTTAAGATTTTTTTCTTACATGAAAAACCAGACTCCCAATGAAAAGAAAAATAAAATCGCTCAGGGAAAAAAGTTTGAAGCCCTCCAAATGAATTTCATTTACATTTGAAGATAAAGGCAGATGTTACCACTTTACACTGATGGATGTCACAGAATCTACACAGGCACCTCCGTACACAACACATAGCCCATTATAGCCATTCGACACCGAGCTCTCCCTTGAAGGCACAGAGAGGCACACGGTATTTCCCTTGCTGAAGAGGCTCAAGGTTTTAGTTTAGAGAACCCGACATTAACGACAGGTGCACTTAGTGGCTATCATGTCTTCATATTCTTTGTAAGCAATTGAGCCATCTGGCTCGATGGTCAAAACACTGAGAGGGCTGTATTTAGCAGGCACACACGATGGTCTTGGCACCGAGGAGTCGAGCTTCTCGTGGATGATGTTCTGCACCATGGTGTGAACTGGCGAGCCATACCGATGTCCAACTGCCCTTGGACAGTCCCCTTTACAGTATCGAGGGTTGTATCTGGGCGGGGCCACGATCCAGTTGTCCCACTTCAGCTGGCTGAAGCTCAGCCTGAAGTCATGGAGTTCACACTCATGTTGGGGAAAAAGAAACTGTTTGAAGTATTCACTCAGATTCAAAGAAGCTGGAGCCCGAGGCTTGTTCAATGGCAAGCTGATGGTTTCCTGACCTCTCCGGTGACGAGGAGATCTTACACCCTCAGCCGACCCTTCTCCCTGGGGGCAGACGGACAGACCCCTGTTCTGGTCGGCACTCCGTGAAGGTCTCCGTTTATAGCGAAGGGAACACCACCCATGATAAGCCTGAGCGCTTGTGTCATTCAGATATAAAAGCAGTGAGGGGGGCACCTGGAGGGTCACGTTAAATGGCCTGTCCTGAGCTGAAGGATCCTGCCCCTGGTCTCTCGTGCAGGTAAAATTTACAGACATGTGAATACTTTTCTTGTTGGAGGCCACTAGAGGCTGAAGAAGAGTGGTCACATCAACTTCAAACCATGTGTATTTCTTTTTCAATTCAAACTCTAAGTTAAAGGTAAATGAGGACAGAGCTCTATGGGGGATCCTGCTAGAAGACTCGGGCTCTTTGATCACCAGGTTGCACACACATTTAACAGCAGAGGGAAAAGAAATGGAGTTGCTGAAAGTGTATAGCAAGACTGACTTCAATAAGTTTTCAACGGCAGTAACACGATCCAGGTTAAACAGCAGGTCCACTGATGGAACGGATCCTGAGAAGAAAAACAACCCACCAATAGTGCTTTAATACAAAAACATAATAGCAAGTCAAATCAAGGCATTTATCCTTCATAATGCATTTTCTCCCTTCTCTTTCCCCACTTCCTCCAGCCTTAAAAAGGGTGGGGGGTGGTTTTAGAGAAAATACTGGGAATAGGTACCATAATTAACTGCCAGTGAGTACAACTATTTTATCACCAGAAATTCTGAACAGCTTTGGTAGTGAATAAAAACAACGGAGAATCATTACATTTCCCAACCTCCAGTTTCCCGATCTCAGTAAAGGACTCCAAACATAGAAGAAGCTAGTAAATACTATTTTTCCTCTTGGATAGTCTCTGGAGAGATAACTGTAATAAATACGCTTACCAGCCTTGTTAAAAACACTTTCTAAGCCCTAATGAACAGTCAATAAAGATCTTAATGGTCTAATTTGGAACACTTGAGATTGATGACAAATGGAAGCTTTAAAACCAATCTCATAAAATAAGACCTCAAGGAAGAAGGAAAGGTTTTAAACAGCCACAGCTGACCCGTTGGGTTAGAATGGTTTTGGTCGTGAGCTAGTGAACCTAGGTTGTTTGTTTTTTTTTTTTAAAGCACTGCTCCTTTCTCTCACACACATAGGACTCCAAGGTGCTGGGTCAGATTGATGACTAACACTTTGTTGTTGGGAGGACCTACTGTTCCAAATGCTGTCTTCAGTCGGCCTCTCACAGAAAGCAACAAACAAGGGAAAAACATCCTATTTAACACAATACACCAGTAGCTAGGAGGCGTTTCAGACACATTTCCAGGTCAGCACGAATAGAATGGGAATAATAAGCAAACAGAGGTCAAAATACCAGGTTTCCAGTCTTGATTTTGTGACTTTGGACAAGATGCTGACCTCCAGCAATACTCTGCTCAGTCTTTAGAGCCATTAAGTCTCTTGTAGCTCTGAACTTTACCCTATGAGCCCACGTTAATCCATGAGTGCATTAGAAAGAAACAGTAAGGTCAAGTACCAGATTTGTTTCAATGTGGATACGGAGTATCATGCAAAATAAAGAGTAATTCAAAGAGCAAGGCCCAGCTCCATTCTGTAACTGAAACACAGACAGGTCTATCAGCTTCCCACCACCCATTAACCAATCTGCTCCTACACACCTGTTGCCTGGTCCCCAGGAGCCTGCTTGTGCTGGGCACAGGATGTGAAGAGCCGAACAGTGTTGTAGAGAGGACTTCTGTTGGATTTAGGGATCCCCTCCTTGGTAGCATATGCCTTATAGAGCCTCTTCATGTAGCTCAAAGCTCTGGAGTCTGGCTGCAGCCTAGGAGTGCCACCTTGCCCATCATACAGAACCTTGAAAAGAGGAGAAAGGAAGCCAGATCTGTCTCTTCCATCTAGAGGCCGCAACAAAGACCAAGGCTCAGCCTCAGATTCCAATTCAGCACCAGCTGCAATTTGAGGTTCTCCTCTAGAAGCCTGAGAACCAAGGCTAATAGGGAAACACAGCCAGGAAAAGCAGAAAAACCAAAGGAAGAAGTTGCTAAGAAGCGCCATGGCCTGAAAGAACTAGCAAGGGATACATTTCCCCCTACCAGTCTTCTTGCTAAAAGCCAGGAAGAGCCTGGGTCAATCTCTTAAATAAATTTTAGGTGTGTGGGTAGGCTAGGGTCACTTCTGTAATCAGACCTCAAGGATGCCTAGCTGAAGATAATTTTTATCAGCTGTGCATCAAACCGCTGATAACGTCCTATTTATCCAATTTGTCTTCATTAGATACAGATGCATCTGGTTATTTAGCTTTCCTCTCCCCCTTTTTCCCCTCTCCCTTTTGAAGAGGCATTTATTTAAAACCTCTTAGGTTATTGTTAGGCCAATGGACTAGTTATGCAAGCTGAAAGGCCAAGAGAATTGAGAAATGATCTTAAAACCACCCATTTTTTTGAGATTAGGATTCTTAAAACGTTCCTTAGGTGCTTGCTGAAACTTCCAAAGCAAGTGGGAAAGCTACTCATGATGATAAGATCTGTTGATATGCAGTGTATTGGATTCACTCTTCCTCTCCATCCTCATCACCGCTCCCACTTCCAGGTGCTTAGAATAATTACTTCATGTTGATTTGGGAGTGAGAAAAAGTCACAATTGGCATTGAAATTCCAGAGAGCAGAGAACTGTTCGGTTGCCCAGTTCTCAGGGAGCTTCCTATGGAATATGTACTTGGAATACTGAAGTATGCTTTAAGAAGGACATCACCTTTAACCTTGACTCATTTTTATTTATTTTTAAAGATTTTATTTATTTATTTGACAGACACAGCGAGAGAGGGAACACAAGCAGGGGGACTGGGAGAGGGAGAAGCAGGCTTCCCGCAGAGCAGGGAGCCTGATGCGGGGCTCAATCCCAGGACCCTGGGAGTCTGACCCGACCTGAAGGCAGACGCCTAACGACTGACCCACCCAGGCGCCCTTACTCATTTTTAAATATAATATCTTGATCCTTTGGTCTGCACATTCATCTATATATATTTTGGTTGAAAGGTTTGGAGATGTTTGCAGGGTTTTTTTTTTTTTAATTTTAATTTTTAATTTAATTTGCTAGGGTGTTTTTGTTCTTGGTATAAGGACTTAAGTTCTTGGAGCTGAGACAAGGCTAGAGATGATGTTTTAGGAAAACGAGACAAAGGTGCGCCATGAAAGCCTGAAATGAGGGCATCTCCAGTGCACCGGCGAACAGACCATGCTGGAAGGAAGTCAACCCCCACTCATGGTACGAGATTCAAAAGCAGTCGGTGCAGTACCTAGCTTGATGAAACCGAGGTATGCTTGCAAATTTCAAGTTCATTGCCTGCCAAGACTCCCTGGCCCCTGGCTAGGAGGCAGGGTTCCATAAAACACACGCCAACTGTTGAACGACAGCTCACTCCGACATCACACATGGCCGGCAATTCCACGAACAGAACATTTACAGGCGCTCTGCTTCGGGCAGAAAGGCCAGGCCCGCAGCAGCCTTCCGCAGAAAGTGCTTTCGGAAACGCCGAGAACGCCCGCGGGGCAGTGGGGAAGCGAGGGCGGCGGGACCTACCCGGCTGCGCAGCGCGCCCCGGCCAGGCCTGGGGGGCAGGTGGCGGCAAGCCCGCGGCTGCGGAGGTGGCCCCGTCCCTCCTACCGCCACCCCCGGCCGGCTAGCAACTCTTTGCCCATTCCCTGGGGACTCCTCCTGGGGCGCAACTTGAGGAAACGTTTTTATTCTCCCCGGGGACAGTCTAAGCCCCGGCCGTGGACTCTCGGACCGCGGCGGCCGAGAGAAGCCCCAGATGCACGTCTCTGATCCTGGTACCGGGGTCGCTGATGTTCTGAAAAGAACCGACCCCTTTAGCGCCCGGACCGGAGCGTCGAAGGCCGCATGCGGCGGCCCCTCCTCCGGCCTCTGGGCGCCCTCCACAGGCCCTCGACGCCGGCTGGCCCTTCCCTACACCTCTCTGCACCCCTCGGCGCCGGCCGCTCCCCGCGGTGACAGGAGGCTGAGGGGTGGCGTGGAGGCCTCGCGGGGCGCCCCCCGGCCGCAAAGCCCGTTACGGCGGGGAGTCCCGCGCTTGGCCCCGCCCCTCCCTCCCCCGGCCAGGCCACTTCCCCGCAGAAGGGGGAGCAACGGCGCCTCCCCCTGGAGGCGGCCGGAAATGGTATTCCCCGGAAGTGACTTCACGGCCTCCCGGACCGGCGTCCAAACCCAGCGGAAGTGACGGGCGGAGACCGTTGGTTCCCGCGACTGTGGAGGGCGAGGTGGGCCCCGCGCGGGAGTGAGGTCCGGTCGCGCGGTCGTGGGGGTCCCTGGGAGGGTGGGGGCGCCGCCTGGGCCGGGAAGGATGAGGAGCTCCGGGGAGGGCGTCTCGGGTCGGGGGCGGCGCGTCCCGGGACTGAGGCAAGCGCCCGTCCACCCTCGGTCTTGCAGGCGCCGCCGCCACCATGGGCCGCGAGTTTGGGAATCTGACCCGGATGCGGCATGTGATCACCTACAGCTTGTCGCCCTTCGAGCAGCGCGCCTTCCCGCACTACTTCAGCAAGGGCATCCCCAACGTGCTGCGCCGCGCGCGGGCGTGCGTGCTTCGCGTCGTGCCCCGTGAGTGCCTTGGCCCGGTGGGGGGCGGGACTCCGTCAGACGCCGAGTGACCGCGGGCCCCTCGGGGAGCTCCCTCTACTTGCCACTCACACGGTTTCTCATGCTTCAGTGTTCGTGAAAGCCCTTGCGCTAGTGTATCTTCCCCATCTTACAGGGGAGCAAACTGAGTCACAAACGACCGGCCCAAGGTCACTTGTGTGATTCCAGCGTCATCTTTACACACTTCGTAGCGATGAGCTGTTACGTGTGAGATATGCCCCAGATAGTGATGATAGCAGGACGGCATTGTGACTTGGCAAAAAAACAAACAAAAAACCCCCACAGAAGTGTGCACTGGCGTGTTAAATGGTGAAGTATATGGTACTGAATTATGTCTCACTTATCTCTAACATTTAAAAAAATGTGCAACTGGGTGGCTCAGTTGGTTAAGCGACTGCCTTCGGCCCAGGTCATGGTCCTGGAGTCCCTGGATCGAGTCCCGCATCGGGCTCCCTGCTCGGCGGGGAGCCTGCTTCTCCCTCTGACCCTCCCCCCTCTCATGCTCTCTATCTCATTCTCTCTCTCAAATAAATAAAATCTTAAAAAAAATAAAATAAATAAAAATAAAAAAATGTGCAACTGGGGAGAGAGAGGGAAGGTTTGGTGACAGATTTTCCTGGGATGGCCCTTTCTTTTGGTCACCTGCAAAATGGGTGTATGATGTAACCTTCCTTGATCGTCTGGTTTAAAAGTGGCTTCTTGGAAACTAGAGACAGTAGGGCAGAGCCTGCAGTGAGTCAGAAAAGAAGCCTGGGACCCTGGGGTCTTCCGTGGGCTCGATGCTTACTCTCACTTTTGATTTTTAAAGCGTTTGTAGGATTTTACCTTGTCTACACATGGGGGACCCAGGAATTTGAGAAATCCAAGAGGAAGAATCCAGCTGCCTATGAAAATGACAAATGAGCCATTCATCTGGATAGTGGTTCCCAGTGTCTGAAGGATCCTTCTCTGGGAGAGGAGTCTACACTGTAGTGTCTTGAAGACGTGAAGACGTAATAAACTTCTTATGGATTGCACTGTTGTGATTTTGCATTTTTGTGAGCAAGTCCTTGGTGTGACTGCTGATGCTCAAGTTCATGAACTCCCCTTCCTAGCATGAGTCCTGAACAGTTTGGCTAGTCTGCGAGTTTGGTGAAGGATCTGGGCTCAGTGCTTGTTCTCTAACCTACAAGAAATTAGCGGCAGTTACTCCTGCAGCTGATGAGTGGTGGGTGGCATGAACTGTGGTCTTGGTTCCTCCCATAATAATAAGATCTGGTAACTATATTATAATTACTGTGTGTCAGGTATTTAGCCCTTTACACAAATAAGTACTTGTAAACTGCAGAACTACCTTTGAATTAAGTAGTAGTATTGCATTCATTTTGCAGATGAGGACCCAGGAGCACAGTGAAAGTAATTTGACCAAAATGACAGAGCTAATGAATGGTGGAGTCTGGCACTAAAGTTTTTGCTCCTAAAGCTTTCCTAGACTGCCTTTCCCGGCTAAGACAGGCCTTCCTTAGCCTGAGGGGAAGGAAGTCAGCTATATAAGGAGGGGGTGAGGTCACCCCTTGGCCTCTAGAGCTAAACTGCCTGTGTCTACCAGGTTGCCAGTGGTGGGCTTTAATCACATATGGCCCATGATGCTTAAAATATTTACTCTCTGGCCCTTTATTGAAAAGTTTACCCCTGTTTTAGAGCCTTTGAATTATCTTTTTTAGTAGAAAGGTGCCCTTTTTCCCTCACCAGGAGATGGTTACAGGTAGGTGTTGGTAGTGTTATGCTTCTGGTTCCCTGCTCCATTTCCAGAAACTTCCTCACTTTTTTTTTTTTAAAGATTTTATTTCTTTGAGAGAGAGAGAGAGAGAAAACACATGAGAGGGGGGGAGGGTCAGAGGGAGAAGCAGACTCCCCGCCGAGCAGGGAGCCCGATGTGGGACTCGATCCCGGGACTCCAGGATCATGACCTGAGCCGAAGGCAGTCGCTTAACCAACTGAGCCACCCAGAAACTTCCTCACTTCTAAGGACACTTGGTGCTTGTCTAGAGCAGCAACTTTCACAGTGTGGTTCAGTTTCTGGTTGTATTTTTTTTTTTCTTATTCTAATGATTATTCTTGTCTGTTAGGAACTGAAGTTAAAATACTTCAAAACAAACAAAAAAAATGGTAATATAAATTGTATTGATTGGGAGGCAGGATAAAGAACCTCTGAGTCTGGTGAACTTAGGCCCCATACTCTTTAACCTGTGCTGCTTCGCTGTATGATACAAGGAAGAAACCTGCGTTCCTGAGCTTTGACCGTTTTGTCGGTAAGATGACGTGTTAATACAAAACCACAGGGTTGTGGGAATGGTGAAATGAGTGATCTGTAGGAGTCTGGCAAGCTTAAAGGACACCTGTACGATGGAAACTCCTGCCTCACCCAACGTGGTGGAGCCCAGTTTTCCTGGGCTCTTTGTCTGTATTTGTTCCGAGGGTTTGCTGCATGTTTGGGGCATAGACTGTTGAGAATTTGATGAAGCTGTGGACCTGAAGATGGGAATGCACCACCCATCCTTCACGCCACATAGTTTTTCCTTTTTTTAAGATTTTATTTGAGAGCTTGAGGGGGTGGGGAGGGTCAGAGGAAGAAGCAGACTCCCCGCTGAGCAGGGAGCCCCGATGGGCTCGATCCTGGGACTCCAGGATCGTGACCTGAGCCGAAGGCACATGCTTAATTGACTGCATAGTTTCAACAGGTTCGGGCACCAGGGCAGAACCACTGTCTTGACAGGCCATTCATCGGTCTCTCCCTCTGACTAGCCCCGAGCTTCGGGGAGATGGCTACCCTCTCCCATCTTCTTGGCTTCATTTTACCCCAAGACTTTATTTCTTCCTGGTTCCTTGACTTCCTTGGAGATAACAGCTCAAAAGCAAATGTACCCTTTCTCAGCTCTGACCAGGCACCGCGTCTGGTCTGCATCCTTTTCATCCCAGGAGTGCTCTGAGAAGACCCCGCTGTAAGCAAGCCCCTTTACCTGCTGAGCTTCTGCCTTTGAAGAAATTACGAAAGTCTGCCGTCAGGCTGTCTCGCACCAAAGGGCTGACTTCTAAGCTGGGGGCACGGAGCCCTGTGTAGCAGGGTGCTGAGGTAGGTGGGGGGCTGGAACGTGGTGAGCTGTCTAGCTCTGCAGTGCTCCTGTAAGTGATAGGGGATCTGGGATGATTTTAGGGACCATTCTATCTGCCGAAGTCCACAAAGAAAAACTGGGGTGAAGTCTCTCAAGGAAGAAAGGGACCACTGCTGCGGGCCCCACTGCCTGTGACCATCCACGTGGAGCCTCCAGCCCTGGGTGTGGCGCCTTCATCTGCTTCCAGGGCACAGCCACTTACTCACTTGGCCCTTCTCCTCAGCAGGGCCCTGCCCCGACCAGGGCTTTGATCTCTGCGCTGTACAGTGTGGCAAAGTGAACTCCGGTTTGCCAACCAAGTCCCGGAGACGCAGGCCCATCTGGTGCCAGGTACAGCCGGCAGAAAAGCAAATACACTTTGACCCTTGAAGTTCTACCTGGAAGTTTTTCCATTTCAGAGTCTTTCATTTTTTATTAGGCACATCCTGCTCAGGGACAGCAAAAAAGTCTCCAGTTACTTCCACGCCTTCATGGTCTCCTCTCCCCCTGGAATGTGTTTCCAACTGCTCGTGTGGCTACACCCTTTTTCTCCCGTTGCATCCTGTGCCCGTAGCTCAGCGGCAGAAAGTCCCTGGGACTTGTTGTAGTAGAGTTACCAAGCTAGAAGCTCTCAAACAAGCTTCTCATTTTCTTCCTTAAATTAATCATTTGAACCCCCAAATGTCAGCGGCTGAGAGGCCTCAGATCTACTCCCATCTCATTGGGAGAACAAGAGACTAAAGCTCCAAGGGAAGGGGCCGGGCTGTGGTCAGCTACCCTAGACCCCCTGCTCCTGCCTCCCGGCCAGGCGTTCTCTTTATGGCGGAAATGAGTAAAGGCTCCTCAGACCTTTCTGCTGGAGGAAGGCATTGTAGTTGTGTGTTTACTCATTCAGCAAAATACTTGGCTGTAGAGAACTCACAAATTTTTTACATTTATTAATTTCAGGAATAGGATTTCACAACTATTCGAGGGCCGTGGGATGGCTGTGGACGACTGTTGCCCCCCTCAGCTGATGCTGTCTGCATGCCACTTCGCTTTTAAAACTTGGACTTTTAGGCATCTGGGTGGCTCAGTTGGTTAAGCGACTGCCTTCGGCTCAGGTCATGATCCTGGAGTCCCGGGATCGAGTCCCACATCGGGCTCCCTGCTCAGCAGGGGGTCTGCTCCCTCTGACCCTCCTCCCTCTCATGCTGTCTCTCATTCTCTCGCAAATAAATAAAATCTTAAAAAAAAAAAACTTTGACTTTTGCTCCATGGTTGATTTAAAACAATGACGAAGGTAACATAGACGTATGTTGAAATACTTTTCCTGAGATGCCTGGGTGGGTGGCTCAGTTGGTTAAGTATCTGCCTTCGGCTCAGGTCATGATACCACGGTCCTGGGATCGAGCCCCACATCGAGCTCCCTGCTCGGCGGAGAGCCTGCTTCTCCCTCTGCCTCTAACAACAGCAACAACGACGAAAGAAATATTTTTCCTAACAGTGGTTCCTTCCATGGGCAGTAACTAACAGGTTTTTCCTTCTGGGAGGAGGGTGGCACACAAGATAGAGGCTCAAACCCCAAAGGCTTCTGCAGTGTTGTCCCATTCATGATGACGATGGTACATTTTCCCCTAGGCACACTGGAGCCTCAGGGCCTGTCCTTGGCTAGGGTACTGGCTATATATTAAATTAACACAAAAGGCTAATTTGATTTTGCTTGGGGCACAGGAAGGCAGATATGGAGGATTAGGAGAAAGTACCCATGTTTGGAACTAGAAGTTTCCAAATCCCATTTGGCATATCCCTCTCTTAAGAGCAGGCTGGCACTGAGGCCACACCAGACCCAACTGTCTCTAGGACATCACGTTGTTCAGTCTCTAGCTTATCTAATCGGGTTTGTGTTCTTACCCAATGTTCACTAGGTCATCACATAGTTTCTTCCCCACCCCACAAAGGTTCCTAGTTAAGCCCCTACGTGGGGGTGATTCAACATCCCAGCTCAGGGGTAAAGGGAAGGAGCAGCTGACTAGTCTGCTTCTCCGTGTTCCTAACATGCAAGCAGCCGTGTCTCTCTCTGGGCTCGGCTCCATGGTCCTTAATGGCCCAGAACCAAGACAGATCTGTGGAGTCACACCCCCGTCTCCCCCTGTCCCAGTTCCTAGGCCCACCTCACCACCGTCTTCTCCCCTGACGAGAGGACTGGCAACCGTCCTGTTCCACCTTCAGCTGTGCCTCATCTCCTCTGCTTTACCTTGCGGAACAGACAGGTTCAAACCAAATATCCGACCTCCGACGATGGCAAGGGCCTTGGGAAGAGGTATCAGCCACGTTTTTACGGAGACACCAGTCAGAGAAATAATCTTGTTACCTTTGTCTTGTTGGCTCACCCTTCCCAGTCATAGGAAGATCTGAAGTCCTATAAATCTTACTCAAAAGTTACACCTTTTCCCCAAATCATTTAATGAGTAGCCACAACACCTCACGACTTAGGTACATGCCCTTTCTTGTTCTGGCAATTTGCAGCAGTTCTGCTTAAGTTGATGGATGTTTTGGGCTTTAGTGATATCTCAGCCCTAGGCCTGCTCCCCTGAGGCTGCTGGAAGGCTCTGCCCCGCAGAGGGACCCAGTCAACTACCGCGAGGAAAGCCCAGAATTCAGGGATTGCAGTGTGATTTGTCACCATCGTCAAGCAATCCCACTGATTTAGGAGCCCCTGCTAACTCCTCATTCACAGTTTTTAAAAACAAAACAAAAAAACCTATACTCATTCATTCAATTCACCCACAGTTCAGGTAAGTCCCACATCAGTCTTGATTGCCTTTCCTCTGGGAGAAGGCAGGTAGGCCAGACTTTGAACTTGCCACAGCTGGGTCCATTCTTCTAGGGAGATGATCTGGAGCAGGTAACTAGGAGGGCAGGCCATCTATACAAAAGGGGGGATCTGGGGCACTGTTACATCACACCTGCTGAAGAACCTCCCACAGAAGGGAGGTGAGGGCCTTATCCAGTTGCCTGTAATACAATAGATTGGTGCCTCTTTCCCAGACAAGGCTGAGAGGGGTCAACGTGAAGACCTCATTATGAGACTTCTATTGATTATAGTGATCTCACTGAGCTATTTTGGAATCAAAATGTGGCTAGGTGCCTGGTTTCCCTCAGTGGCTTCACGTGGCTTTCAAAGGGAAGGAGAAGGTGGTGCTGACTTTTGGTAAAAGGGTCCAAGCCAGCAACATAAAGTCCAGGTGAGGGATCAGTAAATACAACGTGCCTGAAAGGCAGGCCTTGAGCACATTCCTCTGGTAGACATTAACTTATTAAATCGACCCTGACTGCAAATACAAACTTTGCCCCATCTCACCTGGCAACCATAAAAGAGGTGAATTTCAGTCTATAAAAGCAAGTGGGAACTGTTGCTGGATCCCAGGCTCCGACAACCTCCCTCCGGCAAGATGTGGCACTTCAAACTCTTTGCAGTGCTCATGATCTGCTTGCTGCTGTTGAACCAGGTAGGAAGTGGATGTGCGGGGATTGTGCTGGTGGGAAAATCATAAGCAGAACTTGAGAACGGGACTCAGCCCTGAGGAAGGGTCCCTCTGCCCTCGAGTCTACAGCGTCCTGGGGGTGATCATTCTCCCAAGGTGTGCAGAAGGGGATCAACGCTTCGATACCTGAGGTTGTCTCTGCCCTACAGGTAGATGGCTCCCCCATACTGGAACTGAGTTCAACAAAGAGAAGGCTACGGAGAATGACCCCGTTTTGGAGAGGGGTCTCCCTCAGGCCCATTGGATCCTCTTGCCGGGACGATTCCGAGTGTATCACGATGTTGTGCAGGTATTCCACAAACTTGAGAGCAGGGCCGAGGAAAGATCAGCACACACACTTACCTAAGAATAAAAGTGGACTAGGCGATTGCCTGGGCTGTAGCCCGGAGCTCCCTGGAGAATCCCTCAGGATTCAAGAACCAAGAACAGCTCCACACAGGTACCACGAAAGAGTGGTGCCTTTGCTTTCTGCAGTTTACCCTGAGGTTGGATAGAACAAGCAGAGGAAGGAAATGCGGAAGAGGTGGCTGGCTCTGGGCACTGCTAGATCTTTGTCGTAAAAACCACCTTTTCTTTTCCTTTAGAAAAAGACGCTGTTCCCTAAGTGTGGCCCAGGAATGATGTACAAATCAGGGGAAAAGAGGACAGCGCTCACCTACAACAATGCTCCGTTCTATGGAATATTGATGAACTGCATTTTGGCTGGAGACACTTAAGTGAAGCAGTCTTGTATTTTTAATATTTAAAGACAGATATATGCTTTAAACTGGTCTCCGTTTCTTCTTAGAATGTTATGTAGATAAGCATTACTAAACTTGTCAGTTTAGAGTTTATTTTTCTATGTATATTATTAAATGTCTCAAAATTTTCATAGTCTGGAATTCAAGCTTTTGAGGGTTTGAAAAGGATTCATTTTGTATGCTACAGAAAGAATCCCAGCATTGCCCAATAGCAGACTTCTCAACCTGCAAAGTGCAGTGAAAGTGAACACTTAAGAAACAAAGAACACGATGAGAGGCTGAAAGACGGAAGTTTCCTAACAGCCACATGATCAGCCTTGGCAAGTTCACGAGCTGTGGCCCTGGATCCTGGCCCTTCACTCCGTGTCAGGACTCTCCAGTGAGGTGTCAGAGATGGGCAGTGCTGGCATTTGCGACCTGATGATGTGCCCAAGTCTGTCTAGGACTGAACAGAAAGCAGAATTGGAAGAAGAATCTAGTTTAATAAAACAATAAAAGCCCAAGCCCCCAAGAACAGTAGAAAAGACTTCTTTTGAGATTTCTGCTGGAGCAGGGAGAATTGTGATTTATGCAGAAGGACGCATGGCCAGCAAGTTCAGAATTTCTGTAATCAGGAAATGAGAGCTGGACTGGGGGTCCAGACTTTTCAGGTAGAGTAGCAGTGGGCACTAAGGTACAAAGCAGAAATTACACTGAAAAGGCAAAGTAAGAGTTGAAGAAGTTTAAAGAGCACAGTGTTTATAAACTTTAATACAGAAAATCTATTTGATATTTATTAAACTTAGTTTCTCCAGCTATGGTTTGGCATTATACAAAGCATCTTAATGACACAGTAGAGTTAAAAAGATCTTTACAAATTGAAATGTGATACCCTTGTCTCCAAATATTTTAATTGCCATAAATTTGTTTAAAAATACACATTAAACGCATGTTTGACACTCTAAACTTTCTATAATCTCAATACCACAAAATACATATAATATACTATACAGATGTGGAAAAATCTAGTTAGTATATAATACTTTGCTCACCATTAACAGCTTTATTATGTGAAATGCACATACTTAGAAATCCTAGCTTTTGAGCCCCAAAGTACCTCTGAAATTTTAATGTATTGCAACAAATAAAAATCACAGTATGTAATTGAAATTTTGGTTGAAAATGTCAGATGCCTCAATATTTTGGATAAAAGAAATGTAAAACAAAGATGTGGATCATGTACAAAAACAAAGGCATCCTATCAGACACTAACAGTACCTTTCTGCAAAATCAACAAGGCTTTTAATTTATCAGCGGCATTACTTCCCCTCCAAAACCCTCCCCAAATATCAAACCGTTATTCACCAGTTTTAATTTCAAATAAGATAAAAGGATTCAATAAATATATAAGCATTTCCATCCTCCATATACAAAATTTCTTAAAACCATTCAAAACGGAGGCTAGATAGAAATTTTCATAACCGTGCTAACCAACCTCACACCTGGTCCTCCCAAGGAGTGCCTTTTCAGGCATTGCCAATGGGGCCAGCTCTGGTGGTGAGCCCTGCCTGCCCCACCCCACCCCCAGTACTGTTGAATGCTCATGTCAATGATTTGCCAGGTGTGTGCATACAGTTATAAAATGGGGACACTTCTTGAACAACAACAACAAACTCAATGGTATGGATAACCATGGCAGAAATTTGAAAGGCAGCATTTCCAAACAGATATTTTCCAGAGAGGAACAATAGCAGGTAGAAAATTCCAGTGGTTAAAAGCTGAAAAGAAACCCCACGTGGAAGCGGTAACAGGTCAAAAACTACAGATTACTAGAATTTCTGGGTGGGAGCTTTTCTTCCCCATGCTCATTTAGAGAGCTTTTTTGGTTTCTTTTTTAAGAATGGCAATTTATGCTTAGCTGAGCAATGGTGGCACGGAGAGGTCAATGCTGACATTCCTAAAGTCAACTTCATTCCATAATGACTAACTTGGGCTGCTATTTCAGGATACTTAAACATCTAGAACACTCGGTTCGGACTTAACTGTAATGCCTTATTCTGTGACCAGATTCCATCAAAAGGAAGAGATTAAGTATTTTTCCACTGCTTTTCTAGAGACAGTGACTTCTTTTTAATGAACCATGAGGTTCCAATGAAGAGAATCAGCATGTGCTTTACCTATTAGTAGTAACTTACTTCCTGTCACTTGTCAGCTTGGTTCTAAGGTCTAGAAGTCTAAACTGAATCTCTCCATTACGGAGTATGTGAAAGAGAAGCACGCAAAGAACATGACCAACTTGGCCTCTTCCTCTACATATTCGAAATCATTTGATACTTATCTCTCTTCTCTTTATTTTACACGATAGCAACCTTAGATGTGCAGTGTTATTTATTACTGGAAAAAAGTCTGCCTCTCCAACACGTTAATACCTGAAATCAAAATAAAATCTGTGCTCCACATAATTAGGGAATATGGGTGATAGGAGTCTACATGGATGTGAAATGCTTTGCTTCCCAATTTAATTAGCTTAAAAAAAAAAAAAATCATCACAATCTGCCTAAAACAGTCATTCCCATTAGATGTTCCTGGGACCCAGAGGCAAACTCCTATAATTCAAAATACATAATGAGGCCATTTTATTCAATTAGCAACTGAAAAATTAAAATCCTTCCCACCCTGTAAGAGCCCTATTATACTACAGAAGGGCTCAAATATATTTTAAAAGTTAATTTACTACAAATCATAGTAATTAAGCTTTAACAATCTAAAAGGAATACACATTGCACCCCTGAACATTAATATTCAAGGTGTCAACAAGAAAGTGTCTTAGATCAATTTAATAAATAATGTGGAAATAGTTGCACTAAGCTAAAATACTAAACACACACATTTTTGACAAACTAATTTCATGTTTTCATACATACATACATATATATAAAGTGTGTATGTGTACATAATTTTAAAATCCAAAGCTGCATACCCTCACACCTAGAAGAGTGCACAGTGTACCTCCCCTCTACACAACGAGGCATCACTGACTCACTGCCTGGAGCGACCACTGGCTGCCCTTCAACTCCAGAGCGCTGCCGGCCTCCAGAACCAGACCTTTCACTTAGAGCAGGTGCCTTCTGTAGGTACTTGCTTCACAATGCAAGCTCACTCAATGAAGAGAAGTTCCCAAAGTTTCTGTCATTAAATACAAAATGATGCTTGTCTGATTTAGCTGATTAAACCTTTCTTTAATAAAAAGAAACAAACAACAATTAAAAACAACAACAACAGTGAATCTAGTAAAGCCACAAGTGAATGCAAAGTGCGGCCCAGACGCCAGGGGCCCAGCAGCGGGGGAGCCAGCCAGAGCACAGGCATGGGTGGGCACGTGCACCATTACTCTACACTGCTTGTGCCCTGGAGAATTAAACGGTGATGGTCAGCCTTCTCCACTCCTCAGCAACTACAGCTGAAGAGCTACCTGGAGTACTCACTGCTTATAAAGTTAGTTCTTGGCTACTTGCTCAGGAAAAGGTGGCACTGAGGCAAGAAACGGGCTGAATGCTCCCCAGCCAGACCGGACCCGGGCTGGACTGCGGCAGCTGAATCACTTGGGAGGCGAGAGCTCCCCACAGCCCAGCCCAGGCCGGGCAAAACCACCACGTGACAACCTCATCCACTGTTCACCGGCTGCCCGTGAAGAGACTGGGGGTGTAGGCTGCTGCCTCCTGGCATACAATGTGGTCTTAAGAAGCAGTCGACAGAGTGATTTTTTTAAAGAGTTGCTATATCTATAATTAACTATATATTAAGTACAAGTCTCAGACGAAGTCAGTTTTTAGCCACTTGTCAAATTCAGTTTTAAATGGTTAGAGAACACTGAAGACACCTATTGAGGAAGGAGGAATGGTGGCCAAAAAGGGAGTCCAAAGTATGTGCTGGAGCAGATGAAGACACAGACAACTTTTGAGGAGATGGACACAGAGGAAAGGGAGTGTGTGTTTCCACAGACTATGACACTGAAAATTCAATTATTTAGGACAGGATTTTGATCCATTGCCCATTACCACCTGGTGGGAAAATCCCTGCCCACACTGAAAAGCTTGAAAAATTCATTTCCAAAGAATTAACACAGTTTCAGAGAGAGAATTAACTTAGTACAGCACCATAAAACATGCAGGAAACTATGTTTTAACAAAATATCAGTGTGACCCCAGAAACACTCCTGCTGCCTTTCAGGACACACAAGAGATCAGAATGCACTGGAACTCAGAGGTGCCCCACGGGCTGCCGTGAAAGCTTTATCCACTTCTAAGACTTCACCGCCAAGTAAGGAATCAGAGTAAGAGCAATCAGAGGACAGGACATACCTCTACTTGATTAACAGGGGCACGTTTCTTACCAAATAACTACCCTAATCACTGAGAAGTTGTCCCCGAAAGGAAAACTGTTCCTAAAACATAGGATAACATACTAATAAGATTAAGTTAGAAAGATTTCAGAAGCAATTTCTCCAAGAGAAAAAGATTAAATTCAGCATAATTTCTAGATTCCAATCCCCAGCGACATGCAAAAACAACCTGAGGTAGAGAACAGTTCAAAAGCTCTGTAAATATGAAGCCACAGGGCAACGAAGGTTCACTAGCTTCAGAAATAAGCGTAAAAAAAGCTCAAATACAGAGGATTCACTGCACCACTGGGCTTGGGAGATTCTCTATCCTTTCTTTCCCACTTCAAACCTTAGCAATCATCTATAAAGAGCAGGGCAATCCTTTTTTCTGATTGGATGAATTCATTTTTGGAATGGGGAGAATGACAAACAATTTTTTTGGGAGCAGCCAGTACCCAGTTAGACTAAGTCATGTACCAAAGCGTTAGCTTTTCTGAAATAAATTCATCTTTATGTGACCCTACAGGAAGATTAAAAAAGAAAGAGAATTTAACATGACTACTGCCAAAGACCAGCCATACTGGGCGATCTGGTCCTAGTGTAAAACTTCATCTGTAAACAATCCATAGAGTTTTCGTTCAAAGGTAAGATTTAAGGCACACCAGACATGATAGGGGCATGATAGAGGGTACATTTCTCACCTTTGACTCCGATGTGCACCTTACAGGGAAAGGTACTTTGATATACAACTCTTACAGAGCTGGCTTAAGCTCTACCCTTGCTCCCCTTCCCTTCCCACGGGGGCTAACATTGAACCAAATTAGGTACTTTTCTAGTGTGAATTTTCTGATCCCATCAGAAACATAAATCATTGGTGAGGGCCTTCATAATACAAAGGGAGTCAGTACAAGACAAGTTTAAAAGGAGAACTTCATCTCTACCTCAGGCATTATAACCTTAAATTGTATAGCAAAAGCACCCACAGCAAAGCTCCAGCCCATTCCCGCATTAGTCACTGCATGCTCCCAGGAGAGCATCACAATCTAGTGTGGCAAAAACATTTTACAAATAAGAATTCTGAAGTCACTGAAAGAGATATAGGCAGCAACCCTCAGGAGGTGGATCATCCTTTGTTCCACAGTAACTTACGGTTTCAATTAATCGTCAAATTATTAGCAACAAAAAAGAACACATGGTTTTAATCAAATCCATGAAGTTCAAGATTGTCCTTTTATGAAACTCTTCACATGATACCCTTCTCCTAGAAAGTTTGCCTGCCCTCTTTTGTAATGCATTAAATGCAAGCTATAGTCACCTTGTGATTGCTATAGTGTTATTAACACACATTCACAGTTCTTGAAATAATGCATACCAAATCAGACACATTTCATCTTCTATCTGTAGAATGCCATCTTCTCATATTTAAATGATTTTTCATGTGTAGAAGAATATCCTTAATACTAAGCATAAATTCTGCAATAAAATTGTAGTTAAGATTTAAAATAATATCAGGTAGCAGGTACAGAAAGAACATGTCCATAATCTAGATGAACCAACTCTTACTCTCAGAAGAGCTACCACAAAAAGACATTAGGTAACAAAGCTCCCCAAGTATATAAATAAAAATGCCTACCTTAAATTTACGCTGAATGTTCAACAGAGTAAATTTATAGGCAGAAATAACTGTTTTAAACTAGCCCCAATCTGGGAACTTAAAAAAATTAAAATAAATACAATTTCAATTGATTAGTTATGAATTGCAATTGGAATTTCAATCTTCTTACAGATCACTGAAACCGTCTTATCAATGTGCTGCAGATTTAAAAACACTTAAATAACTTTTCATATTGGGAATATTAAAGGGGTCAACTGACATCATGGCTTTGGGTTATAAATAACAACAACACATGAACCAGGGAGGAGAAAACCATTCCTCATTCTTAGTGTCGACTAGGTGGCATGTTATGGCAGTTTTCCTTCGTGATGTGACACAGTGTTGTGGAGAAAATCAGAGGCAACGAGGATGTGTTCAGTTCAAGATACCAGCTTGGCGTCCTGGCGAAGCCAGTGCAGTCCCTGCCGGGTGTATCGAACTAGGTCTGTCATGATGCTCGCGTTAAAGATGAGAGGGCCCATCACCTTATCCAGTTCAGCAAAGAATTCTAGGAAACCAAAACCAGTCATTAAATGATGTACACATTCTCCCGAAACACTGCTTTAAAAGTTTTAAGCCATATTATAAAACAGTAGTCAAATGAAGTCAAAAAAACACTCCCTCCTGCACTACAATGATGAGCATCCATGTTTTAGAACAAACCATCCCACAGTCTGTCTTTCAAGTTCTATTATTTTCCCTAAGTCATGAAACGCTTCAAACAGACTGTATGGTTAGGAATTAAGTGTTATACATAAAAGCACAATTCCACTGAAGGACATTATCAATTACTAGTATGCAGTACACGTGACTAAGATGGAGACAATGTACTACATTCTACTATTACTCAAAACAGTCTCTCTGTACTGTCTGTGTAAGAAGCAAGTGATACAAAAAAGTTCCTCGCACTGTTCCCCGTAAGAGCTCCTGTGAGGTTAGACATTTACGACAAACTTCCTGGTGTAATCATATGCCATGCAAACTGATAAACTATCCCACATTTTAGACAGTATAGCTTAAGAATGCAAAGGATGGAAACGAAAGGATTCTTCCTACGTGAACAAATAAAAGCTGATCTGCACGTGAGGTGGGTGCAGAGAGGAGGAAGGAACGACAGTGTCCTAACATTTGATCCCGATGCAATCTGGGAGAGAGAGAGGGATGTAGGTCTCAGACAGAAAGGGGAGTTTTTATACATGAAGAGAAAACGGGGTCATTCTCATGATAAACACCTCGGCCTACTCAAATAATTCAAGAAGCAATCAAAGAGAAGAGGAGAAAAGGTTCTTCTGTATAGAATTCCAGATAATAAATGCAGGTGCAATATCTGAATAGAAAATTCCTGTCCCCCTGCCCTTTTTTAAAGTAGGCTCCAATGTGGGACTTGGACTCATGACCCTGAGATCATGACCTGAGCTGAGATCGAGAGCCAGACACTTAACCTAATGAGACACCCAGGTGCCCTGAAAATTCCTATTTCCTAGTGGAATAATGGATGTAAGTAATGACCATCAGTGGGTGCTAAAACCTAAGTTAAAGTTTAACAGGGAATCTTACATCAAACTGAGTCAGACTGAAACCACCCGAATGGTATCAATGGTCAAATCCAAATATCACTAAACAAGAGATAACCATTAATTAAATGCCTCAATAATATCATATAATAGGAAACCTAGAGCACCACCTATGAAATGTTATTTAAAATAACGAACTTGAATCTAATCAAGTCTCAAAATGTAACTGTGGGTATGAAGGAAATAAGGGGGACAGGGGAGCAAGCTACATGATACCAAGAGGAAGGAATCAGTCAAATCCATAATAGGACTCATTTCCTCCTCAACATAAATGGCACAGTGCCCCACCCTCCAAAACACAAAACTGGAAGGAGACAGACTTCGAACACAGATGAAGGAATGTTTGGGTCCTGTTAAAAACTAACAGTAAAGAAAAAAAAAAAGGCACATTTGCAACAACAGTAAAATTGGATGACAGACCTGACAGAAAGGAATTACTGTTAATTTTGGTGGCTGTGTTAACGGCATGACAATCATGTTCTTGAAAAATCCTTATCACCCAAGGATGCATACACCTAAGTATGTTCAGGGGAAATGCTTTAAATACTCCAGAGGGGGAAAAAAAGTATGATTCAGAGAGAGAGCGAGGTGAAACAAGATTAGGAAAATGTTGTCTCGCTAGTTGAATGAAAGGTGCACAGGGATCATTATGCCATTATCTTTCCTTTAGTCAACACTGGAAAAGTACCACACAAAAAAGTAAAAATGAAAGGAGAAAGAAAATTTTAAAAAGGAAAAAATGAGGCTAGAAAAGTGGCATCAGGAAGAAAAATGGAAAGTAAAGCAGGAGTGATTTAATAAGAATTTCTGCTTTGTAACCTTTCCTGAGCAATAGTGACAATACTTAAAATTTTAGGAAAGATTTAGGTTTTCAGAGACACAATTCAGATGCTGGGGTTCCTCTTCTGCTTTCTCCCACCATTATCCTTCTTTAGGGATAGTAATCTTTCATCTTCACCTGATTACCTATTTATACTACAAACATTTAAAAACACTCTGAAAAAAGGATACTTGATTGACTAGTGTAGTATTTCTCTACAAAGGGTCTACCTGAATAGCTGCTGCCCACACACATTTGCTAATAACAACTACAAAAATAAGATGGTGTTTATATAGTACTTTTCCCTAGGATCCTTTATTTACTTATTTTTTAATTTAAAATCCAGTATAGTTGGGGTGCCCAGGTGGCTCAGTCAGTCAAGCGTCTGACTATTGATTTTGGCTCAGACGCCACGGCTCAGACGCCATCTCACGGTCATGAGTTCGAGCCCTGCTTTGGGCTCTGCACTGGGCGTGGAGCCTGCTTGGGATTCTCTCTCTCCCTACCCCTCTGTCCCTCTCCCTCCCCTGTGCCACGTTGTGTGCGTGCACGCTCTTTAGAAAAATAAATAAAGGGCGCCTGGGTGGCTCAGTTGGTTAAGCGACTGCCTTCGGCTCAGGTCATATCCTGGAGTCCCGGGATCAAGTCCCGCATCGGGCTCCCTGCTCAGCGGGGAGTCTGCTTCTCCCTCTCACCCTCCCCCCTCTCATGCTCTCTTTCTCTATCTCATTCTCTCTCAAATAAATAAATAAAATCTTAAAAAATAAATAAATAAATAAATAAATAAAATAAAATCCAGTATAGTTAACATATAGTGTTATATTTATTTCAGGCATACAATATAGGGATTCTTCCCTAGGATCTTTAAATACTTTGTAATTATCAATGTTCTTAGTTTGGGCAATAACAAACTTAAGGTACAAAGCTTCAAATAACCTAATACTGAAGAATGCTAGAAACTAATTTATTTTGTGGTCTCCTTTATCACACAAGTTTTCCAATTCACCTAAAAATCCAGTATGAATGTTTTTTTTTTTAAGATTTATTTATTTATTTATTTATTTATTTCAGTAATCTCTACACCCAGCATGGGGCTCGAACTCATGAACCCAAGATCAAGAGTCACACGCTCCTCTGACTGAGCCAGCCAGGTGCCCCTGCATGTGATTTCTTATATTAAATCTCATATGTACAAGATGTCTGCATGTAATCCTATGCCTAAGCCAAATTTACTGTGAACCATCCTAAAATAGAACAGGTATTTTATTACTTCCATAACTGGAGCTACTTACTGTGCCTGAACAAAAGCACCCATGACCTAGAGCAAAAGCTGTTTTTAGTTTCGTGTGTGTCACGGGTACAGTGAGAGGTATTTTTGACCAAACTCAGTACATTCAGTATGACTGGTAAGCAGTGGTGATTAGGAAACTTTACTGGCAACTCTAGACTGCATAATAAACTAAATGCAGATCAGACATTATTTAACTAGATCATAAAAGCTCTTTTAACAATCTCGTCCTTCCACGTTTCTCCACAGACCCTCCTACCTTTTTGCTCTTTGGAAAGCTGCTCAGCTTGGTCCCAAATTTCCGTGGCATAGAGGAAGTTGGACGTAACTTGAACATAGCTGGCTGCCATCTGGTGGATCCTCTGTGGAATGGTCACTGAAGAACCACTTGCTGTAGCAGTGCTGGCCCCAGAAGAGTAATTTCCGGAATTGCCTGGCGACAGCTTTGGAGAAACAGGGGAAGGCATCCCAACAGCTTTGCTACACAGAGGGAAACAGAAAGCTTATTCATGCGAATATGGTGAACGTGATGGAACCAACGTTCTACTGGCTCTTCATCCGTGAAGGCTCTTAAAATTTAAAGATTTTTTTTAAACTGGAAGAGTTCCCAGAGAAGTACAGTTTCTTCTAAGTAAGTACTTAGCTCACGAAAGCCCATGGCGAATCATATCTGGACTCTTTGTTTTAATGAAGGGTAACAGAACAAAAGACGGCAAAGAACTGAGGAAGTCACACACCTGGAAAGCAGCAGTTCAAAGGCTTAGAAGCTGGATCACCTCACTCCCAGCTCCACACACTTTCCATCTATTCTGGCAGGTAATTAGGTACTTTTCAAGTTGTTTTGTAGAAAGTTGGGAGGAATTTGCAACTTAACACAAGAAGACTGTGGTAGTAGATAGGAACGTTTTATTTTGAACGCCATTATTTCTGGTACTTTCCTAGTTTAACCAAGTTATTCAAAGCTGACAAAGAGGTACAGCTTTTTCAATCAACTGCAATTATCTCAAACTTCCTGTCAATTAAGTATTTCTTAGGAAACACATGTTGAAATCTGAGAGGTTCATTTCAGCAGTACTAAAATTTGTGGAAGTGCCCAACACCATAAAAACAAAGGAAAATGAAGTAAAAGTTGGGGGGACAAAAGCGATTTGTTATGAATATTTTTTTATCTTCACTTTAGCACTATAAATTTGGTTCAGAAAATACACAAGAGCAAAGACAGAAAGTCAGTTAACATAAAAATAATACCTGAGCAGAAAAAAATTACAAAACAGAAGCTGTCAGGGTAATTGTCCTCCTTCTGGGGGGTGATGTAGGATGGAGGAGAAACCCCAATCACGCCATTGTTATTCATTTCTGTCAGTGTCAAGACTTGAGTAAAATAAAGATAAACTCAATGATAAAAACCCAACTAACTATTAAACTCTGAGAAGGATGGGGTGTTGTCAAAAAATCAGATTTCTACAGGTGAAATGTCCTCTGTCTACTCCTTCTAAGACTGTGTTCATTATACCTTCAACTTAGTAAAAAATAAAGAGAAAAAATGAAAACTTTAAAAAATACTATATTAGAGATGGTTTTAAATTTTTTTTTTGTCATCTTTCCATTTCTGGAACTGGATCCTACCCATTCTGATTTTACACAAAAATAAATCATTCTGTCACAAAAAATATTTTATAGAGTAAAATTTACCTACCTTCCCAAGCCAGGTGATGGTGCTTGAGAATTATTATAAGAATTCTGTGGAAAAAATAAAACGTACATAATTAAAAAAACACTACTTCTGAAGTACTAAACATATTCAAAAGCATACTGGGCCAGAACTGCTCCTTAAGAAGCTTTACAAATTTAAGAACCCGAAATACAAGCATGAGAGCGAGAGAATATGTGTGTGTGTAAACGTGCAACAGAAAGACCCTATTTAGGTGAGAGCTGGGGGTTCTGGAAGACTTAAATGGAAGGACAAAGAATGAATAACACTCAGACAGACAGGAGGTGTGTCATACTACGTGCAAAGGCTGTGAAGAGATGTGACCCATACGGTTTCCCTGGAGCAGAGGTTTAGGTAAGGAACAAGAGAAAGAGACCTCGATGACTTGAGGTCAGGGTAAGAAGCTTAGACCTGACCTGGCAAGCAACAGCAAGCTACTGAAGGGTTCGAACTCAGAACCAGGGCAGGATTTTAAGATTTATGTGGTGGTGTGGTGAAAAAACACAGACATTTTAGGAAACTAACTTAACAGCCTAAGGAAGGGTGGTAGTGAAAACAGAAGGCCATTTGCGAAGTAGAAACTAGGTCTCATGACAGAAAGAGGCTACATCAACTGAAATATTCGTAAGAGCTACTGCATATGGCTACATAGATTCTACAATCAGATATATGTACATTTAAAAACTTTCCGGGGCGCCTGGGTGGCTCAGTTGGTTAAGCGACTGCCTTCGGCTCAGGTCATGATCCTGGAGTCCCGGGATCGAGTCCCGCATCGGGCTCCCTGCTCGGCGGGGAGTCTGCTTCTCCCTCTGACCCTCCTCCCTCTCCTGCTCTCTGTCTCTCATTCTCTCTCTCGCAAATAAATAAAATCTTTGGAAAAAAAAAAAACTTTCCAAGAAATTTCAAACTTTCTATTTGAAAGTTCACCAACAGTAGCTCCTCGCTTGCTGTGGCAGGCCAAACAGGAAGAGGCACTTGTGGGGCTGCGATAGGAGATGACAAATCTTGTCTCCTAGGACGGGGACCTTCCCCCCTTCCACACTTACCTTCAGGTGCTCCGTCAGTGTCTTTGAGTACTTGAGAGCATTTTCTTTCTTCAGTTTGAACAGCCTCAGGTACAGCAAAGACTGGCATCGCAGGCTAGCCAACAGAAAAGGGCAGCTTATTTAGCAGCACAGCAGACTCTGGCCGCATCTGCAGACAACTTTTGTATTGCGCAAGAGTACACGACCGGCTCACGTGAACAGACTGCAGCATAAGGTCAACGACGCTAACCCCCAGGCAAGACTGGAAGATGTGTTCTGATTATGGTACACACCCAAAGGAGGGGAAGACACTTACGACTAGTCTCCTATTTGTTGACCCTCCAAGAATCAAAACCTCACCCACAAGACACCAACATGTCATTGTAACATATGCATTCAAAGAAATCACTGAGGAGCAGAATCCCTAGATCAAATGATAAATATCTTAAATTCAACAACAAAAACTAGGAAACTCAACTATGCACAGGACAGCTCTGAGGCCACACATGGGAGCCATACCATGGCTCGCAAAAGCCTTGCCACTGCTTACCTTCCCAGTCACTTTCACTTCTCCCCAGTTTCTGGGGGAGTTGCTTTAGTCAGTTCCTTGACAGCTCCCAGTTTCTTGCCACCATCTAGCCCTTGCACATATTCCCTCTACCTGAACGCTGGGTGTCTCTACACTCTACTCTATCTTAGAGTTGTTATACTTTTCTTTCAAAGTACTGAATTCAGGGCGCCTGGGTGGCTCAGATGGTTAAGCATCTGCCTTCAGCTCGGGTCGTGATCCCAGGGTCCTGGGATCAAGCCCTACATCGGGCTCCCTGCTCGGCAGGGGGCCTGCTTCTCCCCCTGCTCATGTTCTATCTCTGTGTCTCGAATGAATAAATAAAAAAAAAAATCTTTAAAAAAAAACCAAAAAAACCCACAAAGTACTGAATTCATATACGTGTGTGGCGATTTGATTAACCTGTGTCTCCTCACACTAGATACTAGACTCCACGACAAAAAAGACCGTGTCAGTTTATCCACAGCTACATTGCTAGTTGTTAAAGCCAGTGCCAGGTAAAGTAAATACTTTTAACAATCTGATAATATCTCCCTGGGACCAAGCCAACAAGCCACATTCTTTTTTCCGAATAAGCTAAACATTTGCTCCCTAAGGGAAGGTATAGGATATGTGAATAAGGAGAGAGGATACCGAAAGAAGAGCCTGGTAAAGGGACCATGTGAGACATGGGGAGTTCTACGGTCAGTCCTACTCTACCAAGGCTTTTGCCATGAGCACCATGGATCAGAGGCTGACAACAACTAAAAATCTTTCAGTAGGAATTTTGACTTATTTTCTACTTTACCCATCAAAAATAGATTTATGCCTGGGTTATGAAAAGTCGATTCAAGGATAGCTTTCAGAAGGGCATAAACAGCATAATTTCTTTTTTCTTTTCTTTTTTTTTTTAAGATTTTATTTATTTGACAGAGAGAGACACAGCGAGAGAGGGAACACAAGCAGGGGGAGCGGGAGAGGGAGAAGCAGGCTTCCCGCTGAGCAAGGAGCCCGATGCGGGGCTCGATCCCAAGACCTCGGGATCATGACCTGAGCCGAAGGCAGACGCTCAACGACTGAGCCACCCAGGCGCCCCTAAACAGCATAATTTCTTAGGGAACAGCCTGTCATCTAGCAGAGGCTGTAACACAACACTTACCAAAGTACCGTGAGCCTTTTATCTGCAGCTGTAGCGTCAGGGGCCAAGTAATTCTTTAGCTTCATAGTGTATCTGTGAGTTAAAGCAACAAATGACACAAAACACAGTACTTCATCTGGATCTTAGGACTTTAGTGCTCAGAACATCAGAACCCAACCCAAACAAAGGCAAAAATACCCACGAAAGTATCTAGTTCTCCTTAACCCAGGACAACAAAGGATTAGGCTCCTTCACAGCGTTACTGTACACAGCTCTATGAGCCCCTTCCTAGATGAAGCAAGGAAGGAGTAGTGCCAACGACCCGGCAGCCAAGTTTTCCCACTTACTTGATGAGCTCCACTGTCTCTGAATACATAGGGAACGGGGATTTGGATTCCTGAGCATTTTTCTCTAATGCATTCCCACATTCAATGAAAGATACCACAGCATCAAGATAGTATACAGCTTTCTCAAACCTATCAGACTGAAGAAAGGAGAATAAAGGTAATGAGAGAGACACTGAGGTACTATGGGGACAAACAATAAATGAAAATTTAAGTTCACTTGATTACATAAACAAATGTGAGAATGTTTACATACCAATGCATCGGCATTGTGCTTTAGTTTTTTTGCTTCTTGTAAATAATGGTCTGCTGAATAATTTCTGCAATGTAAATTTTTATAGTAAATAAAAGAGTAAATATTTTCATAAGATATTACTTGTTCATTTTAGTCTCTAGCATCCCTCAGAAAATGACCCATTACTAAACATCCAGTTCCAGTTTTTCTGACAAATGTTTTTATTGGGTTAAGTGCATAAACTGTGTTGGCCAACTCATGACAAATTTTCTACTTAGGAAAATAGAAATCAAGCTCCCTAATATGAAATGCTTATTTTCCCAAGTTGTTTGAAGGATTTGGAATAAATGGAATGTGGGTAAGAGAAATAGCCTTTTAACAAAATGCAGGAAAAACCCCAACACTGCTCTCACTTATTTAAGAAAGCCCCCATGTTAAACAGTGGTACAGAAGCAGTCAGGTTCTACTTGAAGGTCCATTACTCACATGCCCCAGGAGTCATGGAGGTCCAGTTAAAAGGAACAATACTTGGACTAGTAGGGTGCCTTTCAAATTAAAATCTGAATGTTCTATGGAGCACAACACAAGTAGGAATTCTTCTGATCACTGATGGGAATTTAAATGAGTTTCTTATATGCTGACTGGAATGATTTCTCCAATGCATAAAAAACCATTTCTCTCACCTGTCGTCAAAGGCAAGCTTTGTTCTCCGAGGCTTAGAAGCATCAGGAGTTGGTGTAGATGAAGGACAGCTAGAGGAGCTATTTGGAGCCTTTTCCTGACCAGAAAAATATATAATGTTGAAAATACATAATGCTGAAAAAGTATATATGTTGAAAATTCTGAGGTGATTAAAATTAAACTGAAAGTATCTTCTGAGCCACTAGTAGAAAGGAAACAAAATTCCGCTGCCTTCAGTAACTAATTTCCTTGTTACAAAATTTTTAAATTTCAGAATGTAAAAGCCTTTTTTGCAGGACAGGTCCATTTTATATAACCAAAAATATTCATTCTAATAGTAGAGGTCTACTATGTACCAGGCACTGAACTAGACACTAGTTAAAACATAAGGAAGATACCACCTACTCTGAGAATAGGAATACTGCTTAAGACAAAATTTACTGATAATTACTCGTCAATGAAAACAGCAATAATAAGATCTAACACTTACTACGTGCTTACTACTTACCAGGCACTTAGCACAGTCATTAATCCTTCCACAACTTTATGGAAGTATACAGCTTTTGGGACAGAATAAAAAGCAATGTCAAGGAGGGTAACTCACCCAAGTTCAAACAACTTTTAAGTGGCACTCCTGGAATTTGGATTTTAAATCCAGATCTGCCACATTTTAAAAGGCTAGCCACTTTCTTAAACCTAAACCTCCTCTCAACATAGCCCTTTATGTGGGGACTGTGAGCCTATCTTCCCAACTGCTTCCCTATACACATTTTCCCTATAATAAAACACTGTAAGTAAGCAGAATTTATCCTACGAAATGATGTGTCAACATTAAAAAACCCAATTAATATATAATTTTACTGCTTGTGTTTAAAAATCTACTGAAAAGGAACCATAAACCATTTTTCTCAAATGGTAACAGCTTTTCAGTTCTACCCAATACAGCTTATCTCAAGAAATGAAAATAAAGGCCCTGGGATTTGAGAAAATACTACACTCTTTATGGTAAAGTTCACATGTTTCTGAAATGGTTTCCTGCCTATTATGATGGAATGTAACATTACTAGGCCAGCTTTCCCTCTATGTTTTGTTAGGTAATTCCGCAATTGCCTAAGTTTAGATTTACTGAGGGAAAACTGAAATTACTAAAGATACATTTAGAAACTTTCTAAGTATTTTAACACATTTTTTTACATAAAAATTATATGCATGGGATATGTAAAATTATTGCGTGGTGAAGGAGGTGAACTAAAATTACTGTAGTGGTCATTTCACAATATATACATATATTTAATCATGGTGTGCACCTGAAACTAATATGTTATATATATCAAGTATATCTCAATTAAAAAAGAACTGGCAGAACTAAAAGAAGAAATAGACAAATCTTGTATGTTTGTGGAAAAATGAACAAGAGGACAAAGTGACCAAAAATATCAGCATAAAGATTTGAAAACACGATTAATCTAATTGAATTACATGGATTCCGTCTAAATATATGCAGAATACACATTCTTTTCTAGCAAATACAGAACATTACAAAATCTACCATATACTATACTCTCATAAAGTAAATCTTAACAAATTTCAAAAGACTGCTACCATGCAGATTACTTTCCAGCCCCAATGCAATTAAGGTAGAAACACTAATCAGAAGACAACTAGCAAATCTCAGTATGTTTGGAAATTGACTAACATGCTTTTAAGTAACTCTTGGGTCAAAGATAAAATCACCCTGGAAATTAGAAAATATTTTAAATGGAGTTATAAAAACACACCAAATCTTCTAGGATGCACGTAAGCAGTATTTAGAGGAAATTATACACTGCTTATATCAGGGAAAGAAGGGGCACCTGCGTGGCTCAGTCCTTAAGCGTCTGCCTTCGGCTCAGGTCATGATCTCAGGGTCCTGGGATCGAGCCCCGCATTGGGCTCCCTGCTCAGCGGGAAGCCTGCTTCTCCCTCTCCCACTCCCCCTGCTTGTGTTCCCTGTCAAATAAATAAATAAAATCTTAAAAAAAAAAGAAAGAAAAAAAGGCTTAAAACTAATATAAAAATTAATTAGCTAAGTACATTTTTAAAAGTCAGTAAACAGAACAAAGCAAAAATAAAGAATAAAAAAGGAAATCATAAAGACTATAAATTAATGAAATAGAAAACAAAAATAAACCACAAAGAATCAACAAAAACAAAGGCTAGTTTCTGAAAAGACAGGTAAAACAAGCCTCTGATGAGACTGATCAAGGAAAAAGAGAAATGGCACAGAGAACTAATATTAAGAACAAATGGGAGGGCGCCTGGGTGGCTCAGTTGGTTAAGCAACTGCCTTCGGCTCAGGTCACGATCCTAGAGTCCCAGGATTAAGTCCTGCACCGGGTTCCCTGCTCAGTGGGGCGTCTGCTTCTCCCTCTGACCCTACCCCCTCTCATGTGCTCTCTCATATAAATAAATAAAATCTTTAAAAAAATAAAAAAGAACAAAAGGGAAACATAAGTAAAGATGTCACATATATCAAAAGCATATTAAGAGACTGAACTTTATGCCAACATATTTCAAATATTTGATAATATAAGCGAATATGTAGAAAAACATAAAATAAAAATTATATGTAATTTTGGTTTTCCATATTATCTAATTTTCCTTTAGCTAACATAAGAAAAAGCGTATTTTCCAACTAAATTACAGATTCTTCTTTAATCAACCCATATGTAATTGCTTAAACTGGAAATTGCCAAGACTAACATTAATGATTTTAACAACTGTTAAAAGCCCTAAGATCTTGAAATCAAAGTGGCCAGGGCCTATATTTTATATTCTGTCAATAACAACAGAGTACCAAATAACTACATTTGATCCAACAAATATTTCCTGATTACCCAGTAAGCTAAACAATGGAGAAAAAACAAGATACAAATCCCTGCTTTCAAGGATCTGACAAACCAGTAAAGAAGAGCCACATAGTTTTACCTATGAGATCACACAACCAAATGAACAGATGACCTCACTTAAAGAATACATTTAAAAAGGCGGGGGGGCGGGGGGGCGGCGCCTGGGTGGCTCAGTTAGGCCTCTGACTCTTGATTTCGGCTCGGGTCATGATCTTGGGGTCGTGGGATCAAGCCCCGAACTGTACTCTGCGCTCAGCAGGGAGTTTGCTTGAAATTCTCCCCCTGCCCCAACTCAGGCAGACACTCTCTCTCTCTCTCAAATACATTTTTAAAAAGATTTATTTATTTGACAGAAAGAGAGAGCGGGCGCGCAAGCACGGGGAAAGGCAGGCAAAGGGAGAGGGAGAAGGAGAAGCAGGCTCCCAGCTGAGCAGGGAGCCTGATATGGCGCTTGATCCCAGGACCCTGGGATCATGACCTGAGCTGAAGGCAGACGCTTAACCAACTGAGTCACCCAGGTGCCCACAAATAAATCAATCTTAAGAAAAGAGAGAATGATATGAGGTTTCAAGAAATAAGCATTCAAGCCTCAAATCCTACAGGTGAAGTATGGAAAATGGAGAAAGAGCCAGTTAGCAGGTAGACACAAAACTGGACGGTGAAGGAGGCCAAGAGGACAGTCAGGTTCCTTAAGAACACTAGAACTAACTCTCTAAACTATTACGGAAGGGTGTCCACCTGGAGAAAAAGCCATCTGTGTATCTCAATTTGGGCCGTTGTTCACAATTAAAATCACCTCAATTTTAAAGACTTAATTAAAATGCCACATTTAATAAGCATGAGTCAATGGTCAATTTTTTCAACTCTCAAACCTTCACTTACTCAAGTCACAAATAACAACCCAGTGTATTATATTCTTAAAAATCTAGGTATTTTCTTAATCTTGTCAGTTTGCTCGTTGATCAAAACAGTTTAGAAAGTAATGCAAATAACCTGGTAAATAAAGTGAGGGTCAAAGTCTAATAAAGTACAGCCTTGAAAAAGCTTCTATGATCCATTTCTCCACCCATGAACATGAAGAATAGTCCCCTACATTATGATCATGCTCCAGGAATAGTTCCAGTACTAGCTCAGCTAAAGAATTTTCCCTTCTTCATGAATCAAAGCCAGATTGGTTGCTTTATCACTTTATGTAATATACTTGCTTATAAAATCTAATTCTAAAAAATCCAAAGCCAATTTCAAACCACAGACAACTCAATCATAAGAACTGGAGTGATTTATAATTAGATCATAATCGACTACTTTCTTCCCAAACCAACTTTCCCAATTATGGGTTTCTGTCTTAATTAATATGCACGTGGCCAGGTCAAGTACTGCTTTCATGGTCTCAGATCAACTGCCTATGTTTATTATCAAGATTATGACATTCTGAGAGTAAAAATGCACAGGCCTATAAATTTAATGAGAGACTTACAAGATCGTCAAAGCACAATGTCACCTTAGAGAATTCCTATGGCCATGAGATTGCTTTTCAAAAGGCTCAGACCCCCAACGCCTTACCTTGACCTCCTTAGAGCTACTGGAAGTCTTCCCATCAGTCTTCTTCTGCTTTGATGTGGAGGAACTGCTTTTGCTGCTGCCACCATTCTCCTTGTTGCTATTATTACTTGACTTTAAAGAAGACGACTGACTAATAGTCCTCTTCCGAGAGCCATGCTCTGTTTTTGGATCTTTTGAAGGAACGGGCCCCGCGGGAGAAGGCAACAAATCCTTTTCTTTTGCAGCACTTTGCTTAGATGACCTGCCAAATCAAACAAATGCCTTCATTTCTCCAACACAGTCATATGGTGGTGATGGATTTTTTTCTATTTCTTTCTGCCTGCTTTCAAGACAAATTTGTTTCTCCCCTATTTAAGTATCAGGACACATGATTTTTACAAAACAAGAGTGTACATTTCATAAGGACAAGCTTCTTACCTGTTTTCCACCCTCTGGCTGTATGTATACCCAGTGCCTAAATGTTGGCCTGCCACACAAGTATTCAATAAATACTGGTTACATAAATGAGAAGATGAATGATGAAGATATGAAGTTCCTAAGTTAGAAACCGGTCTCTTGCCAGATACAGATAAGCTTGTCATCTAGCCAGAAAACAGTAAAACTTTAATTCTTATCCTGTACTCAACCTTACTCCACTACAGAAAGAAGAAAGGAAGAAGAGACTGAATCTTAAAACTTTCCATTGCAATTAGCTAACAGCAAAAGCTCCCTCCTCTACTAGTTGGTATATGTATACATATACATGGATATGACATATGTTCACTGAAAGGAACAATCTAAGAGCACATTAGAAAGTACCCAATGGCAAATGACATACACATATTAACACGCATGTAACATGTTTTGGGGACGTACTCTCTGTTGCTGGATGGCTTGTGACCTGCTGAATTCTTGTCCTCTGTTTTGGGTTTCTTGCTGTCATTGGCTCGGGTATCATCTTCGTTCTGGATGAAAAATAGAAAAAAGCAACTACTACGTTTGATTTTTATTCATCTTATTTCAGTTTCCAGCAGGAGTCACCCTTAATAATTCATCCCTGATTAGTTTCAGAAAGAAAATAAATGTGAAGTGAAATAATTCATTTAAACAATGTTCAGTGAACGGAGTTTCAAGGCTGAGAAGAAGTCTATTTTATTTTATTTTAAAGATTTTATTTATTTATTTGACAGAGACACAGCGAGAGAGGGAACACAAGCAGGGGGAGTGGGAGAGGGAGAAGTAGGCTTTCCTCGGAGCAGGGAGCTTGATGTGGGGGCTCGATCCCAAGACCCTGGGATCATGACCTGAGCCGAAGGCAGATGCTTAATGACTGAGCCACCCAGGCACCCCAGAAGTCTCCTATTTTAGGTAAACAGAGCCCAAACACTGAAACACATTTCCTACAGTCTTTTAGGTGACATCTTTTCATCCTAATGACTTTGGGGGGGCTGTGAAATTATAATTAAGATATAATTCATATATGGGCGCCTGGGTGGCTCAGTCGTTAGACATCTGCCATCGGCTCAGGTCATGATCCCAGGGCCCTGGGATTGAGCCCCACATCAGGCTCCCTGCTCTGCGGAGAGCTGCTTCTCCCTCTCCCACTCTCCCTGCGTTGTGTTCCCTCCCTCACTGTGTCTCTCTCGGTCAAATAAATAAATAAAATCTTAAAAAAAAAAAAGATATAATTCATATACGATAAAATCCACTCTAAAAGTTCACAATTCAATGACTTTTAGTATATTCACAGAGGTGTACAACCATTACCACAAACAATTCTAGAACATTCTCATCATCTCAAAGACACCTTGGACCCTTCAGCAGGCATTCCCCCCATTCCCTCCACTCCAGACTCTAGTAATCACTAATCTATATATTTTGTCTTTATGGATCTGCCTATTCTAGACAGTTCATATAAATGGAATCACATTTGTGGCCTTTTGTGTCTGGTTCCCTTCACTTAGTATATTTTTCAGGTTCACTGATGCTGTAGCATGTATCAGGATTTCATTCGTGGTTATAGCTGAATGTATTCCATTGTATGCATATACCACATTTTATTTATCCATTCATCAGTTAATGACCATATGGGTTGTCTCCACTTTTCGGCTAATATAAATAATACTGCTGTGGACATTCAAGTCTAAGTCTTTGTGTAAACATATTTTCATTTCTCTAGGGTATATACCTAAGTGGAATGGAGTAGAATTGCTGGGTCACACAGTAACACTGTGTTTAACTTTTTGAAGAACTGCCAAAACTGCGTTCCAAAGCAGCTACCTATCATTTTATATTCCCACCAGCACTGTACGAAAATTCTAACTCCTCCATATCTTCGCTTGTTACTGTCCATATTTTTTTTTATTTTTTTAAAGATTTTATTTATTTATTTGACAGAGACACAGCGAGAGAAGGAATACAAGCAGAGGGAGTGGGAGAGGGAGAAGCAGGCTTCCCGCGGAGCAGGGAGCCCGATGTGGGACTCGATCTCAGGACCCTGGGATCATGACCTGAGCCGAAGGCAGACGCTTAACGACTGAGCCACCCAGGTGCCCCACTGTCCATATTTTTTATTATAGCCAAGCCTAATGATTGTGAAAAATGTTTTGCTGAAACAAAAGCTATGAGCCTGTCTGTAATTGCCAAAGCTACCTTCCTGACTGATTCTAAGTTTTCCTATTGCTTTAAATATTGAGGCCCAAGAATCCAAAACATTCTGCCATAACAAAAGAATCTGTTCCCTACACAAATGATTGAAAGTGGACACATAAAAACATGAGACAAAAGAATCTACATCCTTCATTACCCTTGGTTGAGACTCCTCTCAGTACCATCTGCTGCATCTTCAAGAACTGTCCCTGACACTTAATTTTACCAAAGCCATGAATCTCAAAAATCATTCCAAGTTTCCGGACTTGATTCTGATTTTATAAAATCAAAATCTGACTTTCACGTGTTGACATAAAAAAACTCAGGAGGAATAAAACATGCCAGTGAAATGTGGAGAAGGGGAGAAGTAAGGTGCAATTCTTTTAGAAGAAGGGGATTTTCTATTTTAAGTTATATATATTGTACAATTTTTAAACAAAAGAGTAAAAAGGGCATTCTATATTGTATTTCTATATTATATAAAATCTTATAAAGAATATGTAATACTTTTCGGGCGCCTGGGTGGCTCAGTTGGTTAAGCAACTGCCTTCGGCTCAGGTCATGATCCTGGAGTCCCGGGATCGAGTCCCGCATCGGGCTCCCTGCTCAGCGAGGAGCCTGCTTCTCCCTCTGACCCTCCCCCCTCTCATGTACTCTCTCTCATTTTCCCTCTCTCAAATAAATAAATAAATCTTTAAAAAAAAAAAAAAGAATATGTAATACTTTTCAAGCACAAAAGGACCAATTCTTAATTCCATAAGCACCTTAGTTTTCTAAAGAGCAGAGTCCATCATATATAAGCTCTTACTTCATGTAATTCTATGAATTAAATCCTGTAACAAAGTCCAGCAATCTGAGATGGTAGCCCTATAGGGGCCAGTAGCCCTAAACTTACCAGTCGAAAAAACTTCCCTATACTACAATAATGGAAGCTCACTAGCTATAGCACTGAAAGTAGTAAGCTTCAGTTTTCTATAAATTCAAATTTCAAAGTATCTTCAGTTTTTGAAGAGTCAAAAAAAGGGGGGGGGTTATTCTAGTTTGTTCAAATACACATCATCGTCTGCACATTGTACTGTGGCCTTAAGAAAAAGAGGAAAGACCTCCAGCTCACTTCATTTTTTTTTTTTTTTTTAAGATTTTATTTATTTGACAGAGAGAGACGCAGCAAGAGAGGGAACATAAGCAGGGGGAGTGGGAGAGAGAGAAGCAGGCTTCCCGCCGAGCAGAGAGCCCGATGTGGGACTCGATCCCAGGACCCTGGGACCATGACCTGAGCTGAAGGCAGACGCTTAACGACTGAGCCACCCAGGTGCCCCCAGCTCACTTCATTTTAAGAAATGTTTTATTCTGGGCGCCTGGGTGGCTCAGTTGGTTAAGCGACTGCCTTCGGCTCAGGTCATGATCCTGGAGTCCCGGGATCGAGTCCCGCATCAGGCTCCCTGCTCGGCAGGGAGTCTGCTTCTCCCTCTGACCCTCCCCCCTCTCATGTGCTCTCTCTCTCATTCTCTCTGTCTCAAATAAATAAATAAAATCTTTAAAAAAAAAAAGAAAAAGAAATGTTTTATTCTTCCTATCCTCTGATGTGAGATTCTCAAGGTCAGCTGGGATTGGGGTTTTGCTCTGACTCTACCTGGTACAACTATTCTGGTACCTATCTGTCCACCTGCTCACCTCTTTGGTGTTATACAATCATAATCACACATAGGTATCAGGAGAAAGCATATTATTCTTCAACACAAATCATTAAAATTTACTTTCCTCTACAAATTTTTCACTAGAGCTAAAAGATCAAGCTCTTTTTCCCAAAGAATCTCTGTCTATACATGTCAGTTGTTCAGCTCTTTTCATTAGATATGTCCATTATCCTCCAATCATAGACATCTGTGGGTTTTCACATCTCCTGGGTCTAAAAAGGCTGACCTTGAATATATACCAAGCTTCAACTCTAAATTCAAATTATCCCAGATGAGGGGTGCCTGGGTGGCTCAGTCATTAAGCATCTGCCTTCGGCTTGGGTCATGATCCCAGGGTCCTGGGATCGAGCCCCGCGTCGGGCTCCCCGCTCAGCGGGAGGCCTGCTTCTCCCTCTCCCACTCCCCCTGCTTGTGTTCCCTCTCTCGCTGTCTCTCTCTGTCAAATAAATAAATAAAATCTTAAAAAAAAAAAAATTATCCCAGATGAATTTAAAGACAAGAGCTGGCTGTGAGCAGATGTGTTTAGTCCTGAACTTGCAGACATGGGTGTTTGAAAAGGGAAAAAAGCTGAGGCACAGATATGTACAGAGGACTGGTGATGTTCCTAAGGATGTGTCAAAACTGGTGAGTCAGGGGCGCCTGGGGGACTCAGATGGTTAAGCGTCTGCCTTCGGCTCAGGTCATGATCCCGGGGTCCTGGGATGAGCAGAAGCACTGGCTCATTTCTTACTGGATTAGAAACTAAAGGAGACAGGCAGAGGCTCAGTGGTCCTCAAGAGACTGTTTGGTCTGTAGCCTCCCCTCGGTCTCGGGCTCAACCTCTATGTTCTCTCATAGCTGTGACTCAACCAGGTATTTTCTGGCTTACTGAGATATCCATGGCATTTCAGGTTCTGATGTTTAAAAACAAAACAACAAAAACTCTTCACAAACCTTATGTTTCCTTTTGCCTTTGTTGGAAACTTTTTCTGAGGCTTGTTTCTGAGCCTCTCTTGTGTGCTTTTCTGGCACATTTTTCTTTTCCCCCTTGGGTGGCTCTGTTTCTTTGTAAGGCTTTCCTGGTATTCTGGTCAAGAGATTCAGGTCAATCTTCACAATAAGTGGATACCTGTCATCAGGCTCACTGAGGGGTGAAAGAAGTTCCTTCTCTTCCATAGGAGAGAACATTCGTTGCCGAAAAAAGCTATCTTCTTCCTCCACTGAGGAGGGCTTCACGGGAGTCCTGTTACTCTCAGGGTACTTAGGAGTTTGTGAGGAAGGAGGAAGGCTCTCGCTTTCATCCGAATCTGAGGATGAGGTATCTGTTTCTATAATTTCCCTTGATTTCTGGGAAGATTTACTCGTTGACTTGTATTTCTTTTTCTCTGCAGAAGGTCGAGGGGAAGATTTGGACTCCTTTTTAATATTGGGTTTCCTGGAGCCTTTGGTGGCTGCTTTATGTCTGCTGGAGGGCATGCTGGTAGCCATGTCCACAGGGGTTTCGCTTTCTATCTTCAGGCCTCCCCGGGGCTCTTCAGCGGCTGCCTTCTCAGCCTTTTTGGGTTGTTTTTTGCCTACAGTTCTCCTCTGTGTTGTGCTGTCACTCTGTGCAGGGGACTTCTGCCTCCCTCGCCCACTTTCTGATCCCTTTTGGACAGTTTTGGAGTCTCGTCCAGGAGTAGCAGAACTAGTTTCTTTAGGTCCACCTGGATCAGGGTAGTTATTCCCGGTGCCCTGTTCTCGGCCTTCCTTTTTATAGCCTTGAGATGATGGGATGTTACTGTCCACAGAAGAAGCTGGTGACACTTTATGTGGGTTCACTTTATTCAACCAATTATCAAGTTGCCATTTGTTTGTTGGTGGTGGTTCAGGCTGTAAAACAGAGAAATAAATATGCTTTTGTCAATCCTGAAGCTTTCTCCCTCCTTAACAATCTCAAGGAAGAGGAAAAAGCACAACGTCTAAGACCACAAAGGCATTTGCTGTTCAGAGTTCTGACTGAACTAAGCAAAGGGCTGACTATTGGCTCTCAGAGCTCTCATCCCTTGAATGAGAAGATAAGCCTGATGTTACAATGGCCTTTAAACATTAAAGATTCCTGTCAGGAACCCAACTTCAAAGGTAAAATTACAAATGACCATGGCTATGCTTAATTCCAAAAAGTAAACAAGTGATGTAGGTACTGATAGAGATTTTCAACCATATTTTATCAACCTACAGTAAAAATTATATAATATAGGAATCTTTTTAGTCACAATAACTACATAACATGAATTACCATGCTGAGATATAAAAGGAAAGCCCAAACTAAACCAATCCAGTATTTTAGGGACCTGAAATATGACCTCAAATAATTCCTAATCTAGACTGAATGTTTGTTCAAATAACAAGGAAACTCAAGTATCTAAGTTTCCTCCAAGATACACAGTTCAATTTCTTAACCTTCTTTCCCTTCGCCTTTTATATTGGAAACAGGTCTCAACCGGCCATCACCAGGGGCCGTGCGAGGCCTACGGAAGATACCCCTGCCTCCGTCTCACCTCAGGAGATGCACTCTGGGACGGCTCATTTGCCTCGCTGTCACTGGAGCTACTTTCACTCTCTGAGTCAGATCCAGAGCTGCTTTCAGATCCACTGTGGCTGCTAGAATCATCCCTGGAGTTATCAGCTCCTTCACTATTATGGTGTGAAGGTTCAGAGTTACTAAAAAGAGATAAAACATATAAATGACCGAAAATGTTTTTTTTGTTTTTTACAGTGACAGCAGGAAAACACCCAAATCTGACAACCAACTTTATTTAAAATGTTTACTGTTTGTTATGCTGTTATAGTTCTATGAATCCAGAACATCATTTTTAACTGAAATACTTCCTTAAAAAAAAAAAAGTTTCTAATATGCTCCTCAGCCATTAGCACTTACCTTTTAAAAACAGTTCTACTGTGGTATAATTTACATACCACAGAATTCACTCATGTTAAGTGTACAATTCAATCATTTTTAGTTAATTTACAAGGTTGTACAATCGCCATTACAGTAATATTTACTTTATAGGGTCAATTATTATATTACTACAATGCTATCAAGTGACCCCCACCCCTCCAAATAAAACAAAAAATAAAAGGATGCGTACCTTCCTGGTGTACTCCTTGGCATTGTCTTATCACAATCCTAAAAGTAAAACATGAGAGGAAATGTGAATGAATAAATAGCACTCTATCTGCTTAATGTGAACAATATTTGAATTCTTCACAGAACACTAGCAGCTCTAATATATGCATCAATGTTCACCTAACACTTAGGACACACTGTTGTTACCTAAAGAATAACTGCCAGGCTAAGACGAAAAGCTTTGTTAAAAGTTTTTCTTGTCAACAATCTCACGTTTCATGAGTACACTCTGATCCATGAAAAGTAGTAAGGAAAAGCCAATTTAAAAAGAAGGAGTTTTAAACACAGAGCAGAACATGACAACATTCCACTGTCAAAAAGCAGTAAGGAACTTATTTTAAATAAATGAATCATATATGTATCATTCAATTCTAATTCTTATAAAATACAATGCAAACCAATACTGTATGATACTGGCAAATTCATAAAGCAGTAGACACACCTGCTCCCCATCGCTGTCTTCACTGCTGCTTAGTTTTAAGTCATCTTTTAACATACTAGAGGGAAAAGGCAGAAAGAATTAGTAATTCTGTAACAGTGTATCATGGCACACCAGAGTATTAAATATCTATGAATCATTCTAGAAATAATCATGGTGGTAGCCATAGATTTAATTAAAAAACAAAGAAAAGAACCAGTAAGTCTTACTCTGGTGTGCTTCACATCTGGAGTAAAAACTGAGAAAGGAGGAAGTGAACATTTCAAAAGCTCTCACTTTTCCATAAGTAAAACATGTAACCTTCTTTTCTAATAAAATAAGCCACCTTCTACCAACTCTTATACTCAGTTGTTATCTCTATTTTTCTCTAATTGCATCCATACCCACTCATTCATATTAAAAAAAATTACCATACTCATACCCAACAGTCCACAAAACTCCTAAAAAGAAGGAAGATAAAATGAAAGTATCAGCAATTCTCTTTCATTGTCCCTCATATTCCACGAAGAGATTCATACAACTTCATAATTGTGAAAACCAGAACACAAAATGAAAGCGCTAGTTCATAAACGCCTTGCTATGAAAGATGACTGCCCTCTGGAGGAGTAACAATTTGGGGTAAGAACCTTAGCTATAAAACAGAAATGACCGTGTATGAAGTAAAAATAAACTCCAGGTTCTAAATCTTCCTTGATTAAAGTTCAAATCAATTAAAAAAACACACACATTCCGTAAACTATAGTTTCTGAAATTCATTTTTCAAAGTAAGATTACAGATTTAAATTTTCCTTAAGGCCATAAAATCAACATTAAAATAAAGAATCCGAGTAATGACCCATAAAATATTCCTTGCCTTTTTAAAGGAGAGCAAAAATTAATACAAAGCTTAGGGAAAACCACTAGAAAAATGTTTAATTTCTCATTACTGAGTAGTTCCATTACCTTTCTTAAAATTTCATGACAGTCTCCAATCAGTGGAAAGGAAATCTTCTTTCACTCCAATAACTACTAATACTTTCCCCTCAAAGCTTAACCTGAGTTTCTATATCTGACCCCAAATTCAGATTATCCCCTAAAAGATCACCTTGAAACAAAGTAACCAGATGATTACAGATATGAAAAGTGTTTTAAGGCTGGCCCAGTTAAGCGGGACAGAAAAAAAGAGCTTTCTTTTGGACAAGGGCTTAGTGCATCTCTATGACTGATATCCTGTAAGGAAATGTACTTACTCTGAATTCTCTCAGCCCTTATGATTTAATAATGGCAGCTCAATGAACCTGTTCACACACGTGGATATGTCAAAGCTTTTACCAGACTGCTCAAGGTCCTGCATGCTTTTGTTCCCTCAGCAACCAAACTGATTTGCACATATATGGTAGGCTTTTACCAGTTCTTTGCATATGAATAAATATGATAAATATGAATATAATTTCAATTCTTTAAGCAGTGAGGGGGATTTCTTGCATTCCTCTAAGTTCATTCTCAGTTCTTCCTTTGTTCAGCATAAGAGGCTGAGGTTATCAATACAGATTACAGATTATAGCTTAGAAAGCTAGCACTGTGGCCACAGCTGCTTCAGAATTTTGTTTTAATCAGTGAGTTAACCTGTGGTCTCAGGAATTCACTTCCTTCTTAAGCTGGAATTTATTATCATCCAATATATTAGCCTAATTACATTTTGACATATATTCCTGGTTCTACCTATAGAAGGAGGAAAACTTAAAGACAGTACAAGCTATGCTGACTTAATATTCTACACAAAGCAGTTAAATGGAGGGCTTACTAAGAATCCTGTATTGTTGTCTTCTTTATTAAAAACAAACTATCAACCTACCCACAAACACAAATACACACATCTCTAAGAGATGAGAAAAAACTGTAATCTCAGAGGAGGTATAGGCAAACTATGGACCACAAGTTAAATATAGACTAATACCTGTTTTGTAAAAAAGTTTTATTGGAACACAACCACACCCATGGTCTATATTTGCTTTCATACTACAATGGCAGAGCTGACTAATTGGGACAAAAACTATCTAAAGCCCCTAAAGCTTAAACTATTTCACTATCTGGCCTTTTACATAAGCTTGCCTACCCCTTCCTTAAAAGATTAAGTACACATATTTAAGCATTGTGCTAGTATATACACACTACAGACAGACTTTTAGCAAAACAGACAAACTTATTAAGCAATACACTTACGATTTAGATTGGTGTCCATTTGAAGTTTTAGAAGAAGGATTGTATCTTTCTAGAACAAAAAGAATGCAGAAATTACAACTACAGTACGGCTATTTAGATTGTAAAATATGTATCAGTATACCCGCAAAGAAATGTAAATCAACACCATGAGATAGAGTTCGTCCCTCCAACAAACTGGCAACATTTTAAAGTCCAATAAATACGAGATACTGGTGGAAACAGGCATGCTCAGAAGCTGTCTGTAGGACTATAAACTCGTATAATCTTTTTGGCAGGCAATCTGGTAATATTATCTTACTGATACTAGAAATGCACATATCCACTGACATAGCAATTATGATGAAAAAAAATTTACCCTACAGGTATATCTGGAAAAATACATAAACACACACACACACCAGATGTTTATGGTAGTGTGATTTGTAACAGCAAAAACTATAAATAAATGTCTATCAAGAGGGGACTAGTTAAATTATGGTACGTTCATACAATGTAAAACAATTTTCATGTTAAAAAGAATGAGCTAGAGGGGTGCCTGGGTGGCTCAGTCGGTTGAGCGACTGCCTTCGGCTCAGGTCATGATCCCGGAGTCCTGGGATCGAGCCCCACATTGGGCTCCCGGCTCGGCGGGGAGCCTGCTTCTCCCTCTGACCCTCCCCCCTCTCATGCTATTTCTCTCTCGCTCGCTCTCTAATAAATAAATAAATAAAATCTAAAAAAAAAAAAAAAAGAATGAGCTAGAGTTTTTATACTGATACAGACACAGCTCTAAAATAAATTAAGTGAAAAACACAGGTAATAAAGAGCAGGAGCAGCTTATGATCCCATTTGACAATAGTCAGTTATGGTGGAAGGAGGATAGAACTGAAGATGCGACATTCTTAAAAGATTTTAAGATAGAAAATGTAAACTTTCTGGCCTATAGCTGCTTTCTACATATCAATAATGGCAGGTCCCTTTTTCCTACAACTATAGCTTTAAGGCAGAACCAGTGTAAATCTACTTATTAAAGAAGTTACTGCTCTTGGCAAAAAGACCATTTATTTTGTTATAGAGCTATATGGGGAAGCCTACACATTTCCAAGGTTCCTGACCGTACCACTATCAATTCATACAGCCATCATCTCTTGGGACCAGACTTAAATTCCCTAAGGCTGGGGCACCTGGGTGGCTCAGTCGGTTAGGCATCTGCCTTCAGTTCAGGTCATGATCCCAGGGGTCCTGGGATCGAGCCCCGCCTCCAGCTCCCTGCTCCACGGGGAGCCTGCTTCTCCCTCCCTCTCCCTTTGCCCACTCCTCCCCCTGCTTGTGCTCTCTCTCTCTGTCAAATAAATAAAATCTTAAAAAAAAAAAATTCCCTAAGGCTATTGTTCCTTCAAGTTCTCAGAAACCAAAAGACAGGAGGTGAAAGCGGGTTCTGCAACAGCCGACTTTCTTCCCAGACCTAAAGACCTGGCAAGAATGAATAAACACAGACACAGGAAGAGAAGAGCTATGGCAAGCTACAACCCTTCTTGCTTATAATTTAACTCTCGCAGAACCAGTTATCTTCACAAAGGAGAAAAGAAGACAGAAGAATGGCTCTTGGGTTTATCAGGTGCCCATCAAACTGAATTTATGAACTCTGAACTACTACTTAAAATATTTAATAAAAATAGTTAATTTTAATCACCATCAATCTATAATTCTTCATTTTTTAATATAATTTAATTTAAACCAAGACTTGGTTTAACTCATTACTAATCAACAGATAATAAAAACTGGGATAAAGCATGTGAAGGAATCGTAAAAGCAATATATGATGTGACCGTGAGAAATGAATGCTCAATAAAAAGCTTAACTTGAAAACCAAGAGGAAAAGAAATACTCACTTTGTTCTCCAGGGCCAAAACTGGACTGCTGAGATTCCTAAGAAAAAGGGACATAAAATTATACAGTGGCATTAAGAGAACGGTTGGTAGTGACAAATGTTTCAAATTCAACTATTCAATTCCAGCTAATTCAATGAAAGATCCTGTTGAGTTCCTAAGAATGCATAAAAGAAAACACACTGAAAGAATTTAACAATCACATATGATCAGCCTCAGTAATCATATGGTCACAATAATGAACTTTCCCAAAGCTCACTACAAAAAGCATCAAGCTACCTAATAGCTCCTCTTTATTATTCATTTCTTTTCAGCAGCATCCATGGTACTCGTATCCTAATTTAGAGCCCTGGGAAAGCAAATGATTTCAATTTAAGATTCTTGGTCTTAAGAAAATGTTTAACTAGGGGCGCCGGGGTGGCTCAGTCATTAAGCGTCTGCCTTCGGCTCAGGTCATGATCCCAGGGTCCTAGGATCGAGCCCCACATCGGGCTCCTTGTTCAGCGGGAAGCCTGCTTCTCCCTCTCCCACTCCCCCTGCTTGTGTTCCCTCTCTTGCTGTGTCTCTATCTGCCAAAAAAATAAATAAAATCTTAAAAAAAAAAAAAAAAGAAAGAAAATGTTTAACTAAAAAAAATTTAATAATAATAATACTAGGGCCACCTGGGTGGCTCAGTTGTTAAGTGTCTGACTCTTGGTTTCAGCTCAGGTCATGATCTCAGGGTCGTGAGATCTAGCCTTGTGTCAGGCTCTGCACTGGATGTGGAGCCTGTTTAAGATTCTCTCCCTCTCAGGGCACCTGGATGGCTCAGTCATTGAGCATCTGCCTTCAACTCAGGTCATGATCCCGGGGTCCTGGGATCGAGCCCCGCATCGGGCTCCCTGCTCCGCGGGAAGTCTGCTTCTCCCTCTCCCATTCCCCCTGCTTATGTTCCCTCTCTTGCTGTCTCTGTCAAATAAGTAAATAAAATCTTAAAAAAAAAAAAAAAGATTCTCTCCCTCTCCTTGGGAGCCGCCCCTGCCCCCTGCTCACGGGCACGTGCTCTCTCTCTAAAATAAATAAACAAACTAAAAACCTACACTAGAGTGAAAATAGCTGTACAACCTATATAGACTCAAAAGACACCACCTTTATGAACTAAAAACCTCACATAGTATTCGCACATCATTTTACTACCTTCCTTTTCCTGCTCCCAATATCTTACAGACAATTAGCAACTTGAGGAAAAGCCTGTCCTGTAGTCTTTGTAAGCTGCGTACTACTAGTGCAGTGTCTGGCACTCAGGAAGCACCAGTAAAGAAGGAAGCCCAAATGTCACTGTCAGTGAAAGAAACACGGCTTTCCAAACCCAACTTTCATGATCACAACACCTGTTTCACATGTGCAAATTGTGCATTTTTCTAGGTTAAGTCTGTAGTATACAATGTAGTATTAAAATTATACAAACATCCCTAAAAGCCTTCTTAAAAATAAGCACAATCTTACTTTAATGACAGCACCAACTGTGAAGAAGAAATCCACATAATATGAATTTTTAAAAATATAGTTGCACTGTAAAAAAAAAACAAACAATAAACAGCACTGTAAACCTACATATGTGGTCAACTGATTTTCAACAAGTGTGCCAAGAGCATCCAACAGGGAAAGAATAGTCTTCTTAACAAATGGTGTTGGGACAACTAAACAACCATATGCAAAAGAATGAATTTGGATGCTTACCTCAGATGGTATTAAAAAAAATAACTCAAAATGGATCAAAGACCTAAATGTAAGAGCTAAAACTACAAAACTCTTAGAAGAAAACTTAGAGTCCAACCTTAATGACCTTGGATTTGGCAAAGAACTCTTACATATGACACCAAAAGCATAAGACACAAAAGAAACAAATAGATAAAATGGACTTGAGCAAAATTAAGAACTTCCGTGCTTCAAAGGATACCATCAAGAAATTGAAAAGACGACCCAAAGAATGGGAGAAAATATCTGCAAATCATATATCTGTTAAGAGACGGCTACCTACAATATAGAAAGAGCTCTTACAACTCAATGATAAAAAGACAACCCAATGAAAAAATGAGCAAAGGATCTGAACAGACATTTCTTCCTTTCTATAAGGAAGATAAACAATGGTCAATAATGATGTTGTCTGACATCATTTGTCATGGGGAAAATGCAAATCAAACCCACAATGAGACACCACTTCACACCTACTAGGATAACTAGGATAAAAAACACAGATAACAAGTGTTGATTGACAAGGATGCAGAGAAAATGAAAGCCCAGTGGGGATGTAAAGTGGTGCAACTAGCTTTGGAAAACATTCTGGAAGTTCCTCAAATGGTTAAAGATACAGTTACTGTATGACCTTGCAATTCTACTCCTAGGTATATAACCAAGTGAAATGAAAACATTATGTCCACACAAAAACTTGTACACAAATGTTTATAGCAGCATTATTTCACAATAGCCCAAAGCTCAAAACAACTTGAACATCGATCAGCTGACGAACATGCTACACTTGGAATAACCTTGAAAACATTATGCTAAGTGAAAGAATCCCGTTGCAAAAGACCACATATGGTAAGATTCAATTTACATACAATGTCCAGAAAAGGAAATCTACAGAGACAAAGAAAAGATGAGTGGTTCCATAGAGCTGGGAGGAAGACAAAGGGAAAGTGGGTAATAGATGAAGAAGAGGGAGTTTCTCTTTGAGGTGATGAAAATGCTCTGAAATTCACTGTTGTGATGGTTGCACATGTCTATAAATATACTCAAAACCATATAATTGAACACTTTAAATGGGTGGAAGGCATGGTATGTGGATTGTATTTCAATAAAGCTATTTAAAAAAATATAAATAGAGCAGTGGCCAAGGTCATGCCTGTGAACTGTGTTAAAGATGCAAATAATCCTCCACCCCCTTGAATTGCCAATTATCTTATACTCGTTTACCTGGTAAATGGCCTAAAAGTTAATAGCCTGAACTTTCAAGTCATCTCTCCTTTTCCTCACACCTCTGACAATAGTCTGCTGGTCTCCAAATGCTAGTGGATTCCAAAACATATACTGAATGCAACAAAATCTCCTCTTCTCTCCATCTAACTGCAAGACTTCAGGTCCTCACTTTTTTTTTTTTTTTTAATTTGAGAGAGCGCGAGCCAGAGAGAGGGCTCAAGAAAAGGGAGCAGCAGAGGGAGAGGGAGCAGCAGAGGGAGAGGGAGAAGCAGGTTCCCCGCTGAGCAGGGAGCCCCATGTGGGACTCAATCCCAGCACCCTGGGATCACGACCTGAGCCGGAGGCAGATGCTTAACAGACTGAGCCACCCAGGTGCCCCTTACATTTTTTAATCTACAAAGGCCATCTTATGGATCTTTCTGGCTCTAATCTTTCTCCTTCACTCAACTATAGTTAATCTTCCTCAAGCCCAAATCCTAGTATGAGTCATCACTACTCTTTTTTATAGAGCCTTCAATTAAGGCTCTTTGTTTTTCCTAGGAATGAAACCCAAACTCTTTGACATGATATCCATTCATATATCTAAGCACTGAAAGAACAGAATGATAAGCAAAAACAAGGACTTTATAATCATGGAGCTTAACACTCATCTGTATAATGTCAATGACTATCTCCGCAACTATTCATGCACATAAAGGTAAAATGATAACTGTGGCAAGTACAACGAAAGGCAAGAGCTTACAATTGTATGTGCATGAGCATGTGAGTGAATGTGTGAGTGAGAAGGAGGGAGAGAGGGGGAGAGACGAAGAGAGACAGACAGATCTAGCCAGGAAAATGAGCAAAGATTTCCCTGAACAAGTACCGTTCAGGGGCGCCTGGGTGGCTCAGTCGTTAAGCGTCGGCCTTCGGCTCAGGTCATGATCCCAGGGTCCTGGGATCGAGCCCCGCATCGGGCTCCCTGCTCCGCGGTAAGCCTGCTTCTCCCTCTCACACTCCCCCTGCTTGTGTTCCCTCTCTCGCTGTGTCTCTCTCTGTCAAATAAATAAATAAAATCTTTAAAACAACAACAACAACAACAACAAGTACCGTTCAGGTTAAGACCTGAAATATAGGTAGGAAGTAAACTGGGAAAGGTAAGTGTTCAGGGTACAGAGAACAGCATGTATAAAGTCAGAAAAGACAGGAGGACTTGGGGGCGCCTGGGTGGCTCAGTCGTTAAGCGTCTGACTTCGGCTCAGGTCATGATCCCAGGGTCCTGGTTTCAAGCCCCGTATTGGGCTCCCTGCTCAGCGGGAAGCCTGCTTCTCCCTCTCCCGCTCCCCCTTGCTTGTGTTCCCTCTCTTGCTGTGTCTCTCTCTGTCAAATAAATAAATAAAATCTTTAAAAAAAAAAAAAAAAAAGACAGGAGGACTTAAAGGCAGTCCATGGGAGCAAAAGGTACAGAAGGAAGGGTGGTGAGAAATGAGACTCAAGACCTGAAAAGCTAGATTATAAAGCATGCAGACTTTATAGATTATATTAAAAAAACATATATATATAACCATATCTGTTTAGTAAAATTTGAGTCTTGCGGGACGGACGGAGAGGAAGGGGGTTGGGGGTGAGGTATAACTCATTTTTACATGAGATAACTCATGTCACAAAACAACCAGTGAAGTTAATGTATAAGATCTGAACTTCTGGGGCGTCTGGGTTCCTCAGTCAGTTGAGCATCTGACTCTTGCTTTCAGCTCAGGTCAGGATCTCAGAGTCCTGGGATAGAGCCCTGCTTGAGATTTTTTCCTCTTCCTCTCCCTCCCCCTCTACCCCTCCCTCACTCCTGCTCATGCAAGCGCACACGCGCTCTCTTTCTCTAATAAATAAATAAAATCTTAAAAAAAAAAAGATACGGGGAAGTGAGCAGCAGGGCGGGCTGACAGTAATGGGGCTGAGAAGCTGTTCACAGAGCAAGTGAAAATGAATGCCAGAGGACTTGGATCTCAGCTAAAGGACAGTATTCTAGTTACTGAACTTTCAGCAAGGGGACCTTTTGAAAGTCATGATCTTCTTCGAAAAGGTCTTCCTTGTGTGAAAAATGAA